AAAAAAAAAAAAACAAGAAGAATAAAATAATAAAACCATTTAGACCAAGGAAAAGAGAAGAATTGTTCACCTTAATCATGGAAAAATAGAACCAGGAATCACTTTTGCTATAATCATCCAATTTGAAATTCCCTGAGTTGTCTATTTGAAGAAGAAGAAGAAAAGATTATAGATAGATTACTTCCGTAGTTACCATGTGAGGCGCACAATGGGCCCCAACAAAATAGACAAATACGAAAACAAAACAGAACAAACATAATAAAAAGATTCGATCTTACTACAGTGCTGCCGTGAGTTTGTCAAGTCCTAACATACGTGTAGGAAGGGCCCAGAAGACGTACGCCACAAGTGCACCGCCTGTAGAGGCGCCGTGTTCCTCTGGTTTTGTTGTAAAGATACGCCAGACGTCAATAACCATCACAAAGGCAGTGAGTACTAAGAAAGGCACAGGTGGTTGTTGAATGAAGTTAAGGTGTCGGAAAATAAGCCCCTCAACACCCACAAGACCGAGAATAAAGGGATTGGGACCATAACAACGTCCACGCACCTCTAGTGGGTCCATGCCATAGTATAACTCAAACTGTTGTCGTGCAATGTGAATAAAACTTCCACCAAGTGTACAGAGTACGGCGAAGAATGTCATACGAGTGTTACCAAGAAATCCCAACATTGTATTTCCAAACTGCCATAACAACCAGCAGTCAATAAGAAGTTGAAGAAGATTTTCTTGATAAAAGGCGTTGGTAAAGAGAGGATAAATTTTCCAGGCATTTTCATGTGATAGAGTAAAATGTTCAACAATGAAGTCTCGTATATCATCGCTTCCCGAGAAATTCATAAGTAGATAAGTAATGACGTTAGCAAGAAAAAGTAGCATCACCACATTAAATGTATGAAAAGGTGGTGGAAAGGGTAAATAGCCAGGTCCTGCATTTCCTGAAAATGGATCTTCCTGATCCTGTTGTTTTTCTTCCTCTTTCTCTTCGTACTTTCCCACTTCATGAAAACCGGCAAGTTGGTCATTTGGTTTCTTCGCTTCCCGTAGGATTGATGTGCTAGAAAATGCACGACAAGAGTTGCGACATGCACTCGTACTCATCCGGTGTTGATGATGATGATGTTGTTGTAGCTGCTGCTGTGCCTGGTAGAGCGCAAAGAACGTGCGCTTTGCTGATCCGTCAACTGAGATACCGCGCTTCTGCACGAAGCAAGTCGCCACATTCGATGGCATGCGCGTAGCCTTCGTTCTGAATAGAAAATTACCTGGACACCGCAACATTATCTTTCACGTCCTATTTATTGGTAAGCAAATAGGATTGTATCACCCTCTTTGCAAATGCGTAGAATAAAGTTCGTACATATATAAACGTACACAGGTACAGACATTACAAAAGAAAAGAAAAAGAGAAAAAAAAAGAAAAGAAATAATATTCATAAAAAACAGAAAAAAACAAAACCAGTGTAGAGATTTCGGGCACATCAAGGAGCGAACCCACAGAGAGATCGCACACCATCATAATTCACATTCCTCATTTCTCACTTTCATGTTTTTTTTTTTCCTTTTTTTTTTACCCTTCGTTCTGTTCATTCTCAGTATTCCCCTTCTTGTGTGTTTGTGGCAAGTATGTATATATGTATGTATGTATGAATGAATGAAATGTGCAGCTACACAACACCTCTGCCTTACTTTACACCTTCACCACCTTCCTCTCCTTTTTGTTGTTCTGCCGTTCCCTGCTGTGTGGCCAACGCCTTCCGTCTTTCCTCCAGCAGCCGCAGTTCGAGGGCGTCGCGGTGCAGCACGTCCCGCAGCCGCATACGCCGCAGTTGCATGAAGTTCATTTTGCTGCGCATGACGGGATTTGCCACCGCGCGGCCGCGGCCAAAAGCGGCGGGGAGCTGCGCGGCCAAATCCGCAAAGCCGACGTGCTCCGGGACGCCAATGAGCGCGCGGGCCTCGTCGAGGTCGAGTGTGTCCACCCGCACGACGTGCCGCACGCGCCAGAGCTGCCGCCGCACCTGCGGGATGTCCGGCACGATGGCCGTCTGGCCCTTAAACTCGAGCCGCAGCTCCCGCAGCATGCGGTTGATTTCCCACGAGTGTTTGAAGGGGTGGTCGTCGCAGTGGACAATGAAGACGTTGCCGACGCAGCGGTACGGCCCGGGGGCAATGCAGGTCCCCGGCCCCGCACTGTTACTACTACTCTTCATAGTGTTTGTACTAGTGGTCGTAGTGGAGGTGGATGGTGTTGACAGCATGATTGCCGTGGCGTGGAATACATGACGTCGGTGCATCAGATGCACGGGCATCCACACACGCCGCATTTCTCTTTCCTTCCTATACCACTGTAATCAAAAGTCAACAGAGAGGAATGTAGAAGGAAAAGAAAAAAAAAGGTGAGAAGGGCAACAACAAGAAAAAATAATAATAACGGGGAAAAAAAAAAGAAACCAGTCTGTATGTATCTGTGTGTGTTATATGCACACACATACAAGCGAGAATGATACATCACACACAAAGGAATAATTACGAACAAGAAAAGGAGCAGAAAGATAATAAAAAAAAAAAATGAAAACAAAAGAAAAACATCTATTCCACACTTTCCATTTCTATTACTAGTGTTATGGAAATTCAAGAAAGTTATTCATTTCAGTTTTTCTTTTGCACCTTTTTCACTCACATCTTTCTGTTTTTCTTTTTTTTTTTTCTATACAATAAAGATACAATTCACTGAGACAATATGATCTCTTCACGCTACTATAGGTATAATTTCACAGAAAATAAAAGAAACGAGAATATATGAGAATGATAAGTAGTAGTGACATACAGTTACCCTATTTCTCCCTCGAGAAAGAAAAAAGAAAAAAAAAAAAAACCATAAAAGAAAAATAAAAAGAAGAAAGGTAATGATCGATCAAAAGATAGAAACGAAAAAAGGAAGGAAGGAAGGAAGAAAAAACAAAAAACAAAAAAACAAGGCGATATAACCCTCACCATGGTTTTTCCACCTTCACCTTCCCCACGTTCAGTGACAATGAATAACTTCCCCTTTGTTTTTTTTCTTATTTTACTACACAAAACTCAAACAATGGTACAGGAATTAAAGACAGTTCTTTTTTTTGTTTTCACAAGTAATTGCATAGGGGCATAGGAAAGAAATAAAGAGCGTATAAATAATATCTCTTAATAATAGTAACAATGCTAACAATGATAATTACAATGATAATAATAACAAGAACAACAACAACACATACTAAAATGATAAATACAAAACAAAAATATACAGAAAGGGTGGTGACACTATTGTAAAGAAAATAAAATAAAAGCCTAAAAATAAATTATATATCACCTACTTCTTTCTCCTCAATCAGTGCTTGAGGACCCACTGTCAGAATCTACATGTTCATTAGTGACAGCAGTAGAGTCAGGATTCACCACATTAGGTGCTGCAACTGTTAGCGTGGGTGATGCAGGTACGGCCATATCATACACCTCCCCCGTATACACATCTTCTTCATATTCTTCTCCTTCTTCCTCTTCATATTCCTCCTCATCATCATATTCATCTTCGTACTCTCCCTCTTCATCCCAGTCCACATCCGTCACGATCACGCGTCGTGGTCGCTTGCTGTCTGGCTTCTTCGCTAAGTCCACATCGTCCGCGTCGGCATCTCCAGTGGGATCCACCGTGATGGCTTGTGTTACCGTTGCACATGAGGCGTTGCTACGCATCGAACACGAAAGTTGTCGGTTACTTGAAATTTCTTGTAAACGGTGGGAATTGGGCACCGTACCCCGAGGAGTTCCACTGCTGCCGCTTGACTGAGTGGGTACACTTCTTTCCTTACTGTTTCCACTTTCATCACTACCTTTTCTATTCAAAGCCCCACTTGCATTATCAAATCGAGCATTTTCACTACCACTACCACTATCACTATGATAACGATGATGATGATGATGATGATTACCATTATTAATATTATTATTATTATCATTATTAATAGGAGCACCTACAGTGTTGATACTAGGAGCTATCAAAAATGGACGCGGTTCCGTATCGTTAGAGCCTGTACAGCTGGAATTATTATGCATATGTCGTGCAAACGTACGTCGGCCAATCTCCACAAATTGATGATGTCGTTGAAGCAGAAAATTTGCACCATTTAGAATACCTTTCCCTTTCGGTGCTATTATAGGAGCCCGTGCTGGATATACTTCTGGTGCAGTCTGAACAGGAGTCATTATGTAATTACGGCGTGCCCACTTATTTGAACTGAGAAGACTTACAGTTGACAATCCACTGTTGGTGCGGGAGGATTGGAGTGTTGATTGATACATTGATGCGGCTGGTTCACCGGATTTGCATTGTGTGACTTGACCATTCCCATTATTCTCTGTATCATCAGATGATTGCCCTAAAGAGGACCTCCAACCAGTTCCACTTCCTCTGATAAAAGTTTCAGCTGTAGAAGGTGGTACAACATTTTCAAGAGGTTCCCCCTCATCATCATCATCACTTTCAATGTACTCTTCTTCCACAGGGAGATATTTAATTTTTCGAATAGTTCGTGTGATTGTTGTAGTGGAAATATGTGCTGCGTTAGGTGGAAGAGTAGATGCATTGCTTAGAGATGTACTTTGGCTTGAAATACTTTTTTTCTCAGGTATCGTACCCTGAGTTTCCTTTTTCATATTATAAGGGTGTTGAGGTGCATGTAGTACGGTAGTAGCTGCACTACTCTTGCTAATATTTGGGTTACTGGGCCTCTCAAGTTGATTACTCTGAACATCCGTCCTTGGTGTTGGATTTTTCTCCAATGGAATAGAATTGTCTCCATTCCTGTTTGGAGGGAGTTCAGAAACATGCATTACATCCCCTGATACTTGCGGTTGTGTATATTTTATAATTGGGGTATTTATTAACGGTTCAGGGGACCTCTGGGAACCATTCTGATTCTTACCAGGTCCTATTCCGATGAATATGGCATTATTACTGTTATTCATACTGCTACTATTGCCCCAGTGATTGGCATGCGAAGGCGTATCCACTCTACTTCTACTGCTTTCATTCGAAACCGGTGGAAGAATAAAAGGAGGAGCATTCCCACGAACAGGCCTATTCGGCACTCTCTCTCGTACGACTGCGGATGAAGAAGTATCATAGTTCTCCACCGGTCCTGTTACCTTCAGTACTCGAATGGGTAACTTTGGTGAAACATTCCGCTCGTTACTATCACTCACTCTGTTGGAGCCAGATCTCGTCATTATGGTTGGGGCCCACGCATTCTTTGTGCCTTCATGCCGTCCGTGTGCTGCATTTGCCAATGTGGATGGTTTAGTTGCGTAATTTCTTTGCAGCGAGACGAAAGAGTCTAAGCTGGCACGAGCAGGATCACTGTGTTTCGGTTTACGCTTGGTAGAGTCCACCACGGAATCATCAGGAATGGAGGCTCTTACAGCAGATAAGACTCTTCTGCCAGAGGAGTTGACGCTGTTTCCACGATGCTGATAATCACCATGTTGAACACGACTCATATTTACTATTACCTAATTTAGTTTTGTTGTTCTTATTCTTTTTTTTTCTATTTGACTAAATAAGATAATCCAAAATAAAATAAAAAAACAGTATTTATCTTTATCTTTTTTTTTTTTATAAATTTTCTTTCTCTTTTCCCTTTTGAGTTGATGGTGCAAGTACTACCTATATATCTGCAAACTCCTTATCGATATTGCTGATATTATTTTGCTGTGGTGATTCTCACGGCAGCGAAAACTATCCTTTTTTATTATTATTTTTATTATTATTATTATTTGTTTATTATTTTTATTTCACCAAGACAAAAGATTAGAGAATAGCGAATAATGTCAGTAAGCAGTGTGCCACGCAATATTGGCAAGATACAGCTGCAGCCATCATACGGGGAACAAAGAAAGAAAAAAAAAAAGAAGGAAATCGAAAAGGCAAAAAAAAAAAAAAACAACGAAGAAACAAAATGAAAAAAATACATACCAAATATTTTTGGGTGCGTAAATAGCCCTGAACGCCTGCCTAGAGACGAACAAGACACTAGACATTGGCATCTCACGACTATCAACAAGTTAGCAGAACCAATCATGAAAAACAAAACAGAGAAAGGTAAGAAACAACAAAAACAAAAACAAAACACACACATACACATAAACACAATCGGAACAAGAATGAAATAGAATAAAAAAAAAAAGGAGCAAAAATAAAGGAGGGAGTAAAAAAAAAAAGGGGTGTGTGTGTTTCTTTGTAGGAAAGACATCCTCTCTGGTGGGGAAAGTGTAAAGCCCGTGGGATTTAATGAATGAACACCAAACAAACCATAACAATGAAAAATAAAAATAAAAGGAAAAGAAAAGGAAAAAAAAAACACCAACAATAAGAGAAGGCAAGTGACGCATATGATTTCTATTGATACACACAAAGAAGCAAGAATCATGACGTCAACGATAGTGAGGACGACAATGATGTTGTTTATCATGATTATAATCATCATAATAACAAAAATAATACTAATAAGAAAAATAAATCCTTCACTTTTAGATATCGCTCCTTCTCGCTCATTTTTTTTTCTCTCTCTCTCTCTCTCTCTCTGTCTCGCTCGTTCGCTCCTCACAGCCACCAACCAACATCAACCGTGCGAATAAAAGCAAAAAAGACCAATTAAAGAAAAAAAAAAAACTAACAACTATGTACAATGCCTTGTATTCCCCCGTGCTCCAATCACTACCCGCACCCCCACACGATTACACACCCTTTATATTTTCTTTTCTTTTTGGTTTTTTTTTTTTTTTCTTCTTTTTCTTCTCTCCCTCGTTTTCCTACACGTGGGTACCTTCATGCTCAAACCAGTTGAGAAAATAGTCTTTACCTGGTCTTTGTAGTATCAGCTTAACGCCGCATAGTAAAATAATTCAAAAGAAAAAAAAAAGAACAGGATGGATGTCACATTTAGATAACAAAGATAAGGAGCCAAAGAGCTTCTAATTTTATTGGTGTTTCTATTTCCCACACCTCACTCTTTTCACCCACGCTCTCTGCGTTTATTCGGTGATATTCCCTCCTCATCCTCCTCCCTCACTGTCAGCTGTACACCGAAAGAAAGGTAAAAGAGGGTGAAACACCAGGAAAGAGGGGCACCGAATGGCGCTTCACTCCACATGATGAAAATACAAACGTACAAACGCACACATATTTATATACAATCAATCAAACAAAACAAAAAAAAAAAAAAAAAAAACAATACAGTCTAATAGCAATAACACAATTATAATTATCACTTTTTTGATTCTTCTTATCCTTGCAGGAGAAGCAGAAGCAGAAGCAGAAATAGCAACAAGTGAAAAAAAAATATTTATATATATCTTATCACACTATATTACTACTACTATTATTCTTCCTCGGGACTGGCTTTCCAAGCACGCATGCGTCTTGTGCCTCCTTGAGAACCTTGACCGCTTTCCACAGACGCAGATTCTGCTGTAGACTCCGCATGCAGTGCTCCTTCAACACTTAATTCGCTGCTGGTCTCGTTCGTGCTGCTACTGTATCTTTTGGTAAGCCTGCTACCTGCCTCATCTCTTGGTGCTATATCTGTGGTATCTACACTATTCTCGCTTAAAAGTTTTTGGGGTGCCACTGTTGTTGCAGTGACTTCATAGATTTTTTTCTCCTCAATTTGAATAGGGGGATTCCCATCTTCTACTATGACTTCTCTGTGTGTTTCTACCACTCTCCTTACTGCACTTCCGTCGTCATACTCCTCAACTTCTTCCTGTATCACTTCTTCCTCTATTACACTGGGTTCTTCCGCAGGTTCCTCTGCTTCCATCGGTTCATCATTATCTTCATTTTCTTCCTTTTCTTCTTCTTCTTCTTCTGGATCTTCTTCATCTCTAATCACTTCCCGTTCTTGCACCACCACCACATGCTCTTCCACCACTTCCCGTCTTCCTGTTTTTATTTCCTGTTCTTCCATCGGATCATCATCTTCTGGTATTTCTTTATCTCTAATCACTTCCCGTTCTTCCACCACCACCACCACATGATCTTTAACCACTTCCTGTCTTCCTGTTTTTATTTCCTGCTCTTCCGTCGGATATTCTTCATCTCTCATCAATTCCCGTTCATCCATTGGTTCACGCTCTTCGATCACTTCTTCTTCTTCATCGAAAGAACTCTCCTCATCACTTCCAACCTCTTGTTCCGTTATAGTGCGAGTAACAGTGGTTGTGCGAATTGTTAGCACCCCACCATATTCAGTGTCCTGCATCTGCGTATCGGTTAAGGTATCCTGAACAGTACTGACAACTCGTGCATTTGGAATAAACATAGTATTCACAGAAGGCTGATCACCGTGCTTCACAGCCGGATATACGGCAGAGATTGCAGGATCACGTGTCTCTTCAATATTCATCCCAGTTGGAGATGATCCTTTACCCATGTGTGTGGATCGACGTAGTGAAGAAGGTGTGCGCTGATCTCTCAAATCGGGTGTTGGTTCTCGACTATTCTTTGGTGATGAATTTATAGGGGATGGGGTTTTATCGCTTCGGTCTTGCATAGATCCGTTGATTTCTCGGAGTGCCTCACCCAATGGTCCATCTGCATCACCAGTGCCATACAAAACAGTACCTTCTGGTAAATCGTTAACAAAATCTTTTAGGAAATCTGGGCCAGCATTAGAATTTTGATAGGATTTTGGTATTAATACATGTCGTGTGACTGGTCGGCCAAGTTTTTCTTCTAATTGACACATTGCCTTATACATCTTCCATGTTGCCTGAATCTTAGTTGCCATACCGTCCTTTAGTTTTTCATCCATACATTCCATAAGGTAATCAGCACGACGTCGTAATTGGATAATCCATGGATGATCATAATCGTAAACAACAGACAAAATACCAAGACAACGTCGCACCAGCAAAAGTGATCGATTATACAATGCAAGATCTTCATATATCTGGGCCAATTCAATTAATGCAGGGATAAGTAATTCTGACTGCCGTCGGTGTCCTATTTCCACCACCTCAATACAACGAAGTAATAAAAGTTCACATGGTGATGCCTTTAATTCACGTGCCATTTGGCTACGCAATACAAAATCATCTTCTGCTGTGTAGTGCGTTTTCAGTATTGTTGGACGTAAAAGTCTGACGACATTCACTGCAGGACCAACACGTCGACGAGGTGCTTTTGGTGCCATGGATTTTAGAATTTCCTGATTTAAACTGAAAATACTAGTATCAGAGAGTATACTGCTCTCACACGAGCTAATAGAGGCCATACTTTCATCCAATGAGACATCTATCTCTAGATCTTTTTTGGCAAATGTAAATCCTGTTGTTTTGCGTTCCTGTTCATACCAAATTCTTGCCATTCCCACCATAGCAAGTACATATCGTTTAAGTACCATATATATTTCTTTCTCACCCCTTGCCACACGTGTTTCAGCAATTTGAATAGCACGACTATAGGTCGTCTTTGCGCTTTCCACATCTCCTTGTGTGAAATACACATCTCCCTCCTTTTGGTAGACAAGAACTGCCAGGTGATCAAATCGCCTCGGAGGCACTTGTTCAAGGTACGGGTAACAACTTCGTAGCAACTGCAGTTTCATTGTCGCCTTTTCGTCCGGCAAGTTGTCCGCCTCCTTTACGGCGTTAAGTATATGCAGAGTGGCGGGGTCTGTGTCTATCGATTGGGTGTCGTCCCCGCTGATCTCGCCATTGTTCCTGCCAGCCTGTCGTCGTCGCTGTTCAATCTTCCACAGGGCCGCTGAATCCACTCCCGCATCATTCTTCCCGTTTCTGTTATTATCACCGTAAATGCTGTTGTTTTCGCTGGACGCCGGCCGCCGGCTGCTGCCGTTCACGAGAACTTTCGGCTTCGACCGTCCGCGGGGTGGCGCACTCGAGACGCGCGGGACTTGCCGCCGAGATGAAGCCGCCGCTCCCATCCTCTCCAAATAATAATAATAATAACAATATATATATATATATATATATTATAAGGGGTAGGAGAACACACACGCACGGGATGGAGGATATGCTTTGCGAGCCTAGCTCTATAGCTTCTTCTCTTCTTTGCCTTCCGTAACTTTATTTTGCTCCTCTCTTCGTTACTTCCCTCCTTTGCTGCTAGCAATACGAAAAAAAAAGAAGAAAAAAGGAAAGTGTTAATAAATGTCTTTTCCTCTGTTAACTTATTCCTCGCAGAACAATATTATTGTCTCTCTGACCAATGATATAATAGAAAGAAAAATATATATTTTTTTTTCCGAAGCAATCTCACCACGAAAAACAAAAAAAAAAAAAAAGAATGGAGGTCACCACTATCTGTCAGATGAAAAAAACATAAAGAGGTATGTGGTGTTGTGGCTTAAGAAATAATACTATAAACGCCGATGTGCACAACATTAGTAATAGAAGCACACAAAAGTATATATATATAACGGTAATCCATATTTCCACCATCCTTGTATCCATTGTCATTACAGCTATGTTATTACAAAAGTGGTAATGACAGAATCAAAACAGTGACAATAACATTACCCTATTCTCATCAAGTTAGCTCACTGTTTCCAGTGTAAAAAGCATTCAGACACCATCAATAAACTTTGTAAAGACCAGACACATAGAGGTCATAACCATCTTGTGTTTTTTTGTTTTCCCCTTTACACTATCAACCTAGCAAATGGGTTTTTTTTTTTCTGTTTTTAGTGTAATAAGGAATTACCATTATCGTTTTCTGCTCTTTATTCTCAAGATAACGTACAAACACAGTTGATTATGTTCATTTCTATTGCCATTTCTGTTTTCATAGTGTTCGCACTGTTGTGGATGCCAAAAAAAAAAAAAAAAAAAACTCACTCACTCGACCGGTGTACTGTGAAGCACTACTGTTCTTCTCCCATTCTCTTCAATAACTAAGAAGGATGCAGACATCCCGCATTCAGCAAAACGTGTTTCTGCAATTGCCCTCTCATGAGGAATATACTCTCACAGAAGAAGCGGTATTATTATTTTTTTTTTCTTTTTTTGGGGGGGTATCTCATGATATCCAATAGACTTCTCTTCACGTATAGTAGAATTTCTTTTTTCCCTCTTCCCCTTTCCCTTTCTCTCTCCTTTCTTACTTTTTCAGTATGATAATAGGAGAAAAAAAAAAAACAACGAATAAGGTTGAGAACATCACTCTGCTTGACAATCTACTGGATCCCATGTAAAGATATCCACTTTATGTTTGCTTATCATTTCTCTTTTCCTCATAATACCTCTCTCTCTCTCTTTTCCCCTTTTTATCTTAAAAAGAAATATATATGGAGAGAGAGAAAAAAAAAAAAGAAGAGGGAGAAAGAGGGTGAATATCAAGAGAATTAAGATAATACAATTTGATGCTAGCAATCAAGAAAGTCTGCAGCCAGCAAGACGTCCGCAACAGCATCCTGATCCTCATCCATCACTGGGCTTAATTCACTAAGCAGTGAATACTCCTCGGTGGAGTTGGGATCACCAAGAGAGCGCTGCAGTAAATACCGCACAACCAACTCAAGTGTACGTGTGGAGAGTGGCGCCAGTGGAATTCTCGGCATTACGTTAATGTTGTTCGTCACGTACACACCGGGAGTGGCGTGCCGCTGCCGCTGTTGATCCCCAAAGCCGCCGCGATTGGGGAGACAGTAAATGCCATCTAGAAGAGAGGCCAACATCTTACTTTGCCGTACGGCGGCCTCTGGGAGAATAAACTCCGTGCCCTCGCCGGAGACTACACAGACATAAGAAATGGGATCCGGTCGTGTGGACCGCGGCTTTGACATTTTCTTTGCCTTAAAAGTACAAGAAGGATGTCCTTTTTTTCCCGTGCTAATGTGATAAGAACTGGCACGTGTGCTCGGTGTTTCCTTTTTTTTCTTTTTCTTTCTGATATTCTTCTCATGAATATCAAGAGAAGAATCAGAGAAAAGAGATGAGGAGTAGAAGAGAATGAAAATAGTAAAATTGAAGAAAAAAAAAAAACATTATGGTCAAATATACATAAAAAGAGAAACAAATAAAAGAAAGAAATAAAGAAATAAAGAAAGGAAATAAAAAAAAAAATAAAAAATAAAAACGATATCTCACTTCAAACCGAACAGACTAACGGTCCTAGTATCCCCACACCCTCCAACCGCGTCACTGTCACTGATAATAATCACTACAAATAAAGAGAATAAAAAAAAAAAATAAAATAACAAGGGAGTAGCAGAAACGTACACATCAGCGGCACGTGAAATACACACGTATACATATAATATATATGTATATACCAGCCCATGATACCAAACCCAAATACCTATATATAAAAATAGAGAAATTTCTAAGGAAATATTGTGTGTGTATTATATTCCAATTCCTTTTCCTATTACCATTATGTGACATTCACTCCTAAACCTTTACTGATGTAACCCTCTTACTCTCCCCTTCACTCTTTCACATTCTTTTCTTCTTCTTATCCCCTCTGTTCTCATCACTAATTCCTTATTTTGGCAATTTCTTTTTTTTTTTTCTTTACGGGAACTGTGCATCTACGCCTTCTCCCTCGGAATGAAAACATCCGGGTCATGAAAGACCGTTGGATTAAGAACATCTACACCTCCTTCTTTTTCTAGTTTAACCCGCACCTTTTCTACCGCCTCCAACAGTGGAGGGTGTCCAAATGACTCATCATACTCTTTTAACCATTTGCGCAACTTTTCCTCATTCCTAAGTGTCGCCATTGTCTCACGAAATACCCACGTACTTTGCTTATGACGCGTAACACATTCACGGAGATCAATCATGCGGCTTCGACAATCATAGAGTACATCAAGTTCTTGACTTTCCCGCATACATGTCATTAGGCGCTGCCAAAAACGTTGACAGTTGTTTTCATTAAGGTAGTTGGCTGACATGTTCGTGATGTCCGTCGAAAACGTGTCGTCGGGCATCTCCCGAGCTCCAAACATCGACATCTTGACTATTTCAGTCTCTATATATTCGAGAACTCACAGATACATTTCAAAAAGAAGAACAAAAAAAAAAAAAAATTATATATGAGTATAAAAAAGTGAGTGGGATAAAGTAACCACAGAAGATATATATATATATAACAAACAAACCATCATACGCACAGGCACAGAAAAATGTATATACACACAAGGACAAAAATGAAGGAACATCTAAGCGGATTCAGAAATCACACCAATTGATGGAAACTGGGAAACAATTCCAAAAGAATTAACTATTCACCAAAAAAAAAAGCAAAAACAAAAACAAGAAGGAGAACTAGAGGGAACACAAAATCATGTAGTCATTGCGTTTATTACACACAGAAAAATAAGCTATATATATAAATATATAAAAACATAAATATATATATATATATTTCTTTCTCATATGATTTTCATTGCATTGTTCATTCAATTAATTAATCCCCATGACATAGTTCACACATACACATACACACAATGAAAAAAAAAAGAAATTTTTGTTGTTTTCTCACTCTCAATACCGTCGACGGTTACCTCTACGAATAATTGCCTCATACTGTGCCAAATTGCGGCGATTCCCACGAGGAGGAAGTTGTTGTCGGTTCACGGATGTAGTCTGCCCCTCCTCTCTCGTGATTCCATTGTTAGACCCACTGTTGTTACTAATACGACGGCGGTGTCGTTCTTCTGATAGTTGTGATGAAGGTTCGGGTAATGCGGGTGGACGTACAATAATTCGATTCGCAACTCCTGTTCTGTACCGCTGTGGACGTCCCACCGTTATCGTCTCTTCAGCTCCAGCCCTGTTTGGTGAAAGGGCGCCGTGAACCTCTTCCACACGGTGTCGGCGCAGTGCATATACAGCATGCCTCGCGTTACCAGACACCGTCGTTTCTCTCGGATGTGCAGGAAGAGAAGTTTGCGTAGAACGACCACTCACCGTTGCTCGCGTTTCCGTCGGTGGACGCGGAGCAACTTGGGACATGTTAGCAGAGAGAGCGTATTCACTACCCTCATTTGAATTTCGCAATGACGCTACTGATGGTGGGGATAAAGTTGAATTTAGCAAATTTGCCCCAAGAATAGAATCATTTGTATCCACCCTTGGAGGGGTCATTAGCGATGATGATGATGATATTGATGATGTTGACGACGATGACGATGATGATGAGTCCTGAAGGGGAATCGTTTGGGGTGTTGGGTCCTCTTCCATGAATAAAAGTGGAGAGTTCCCTTCAGAGAGATTTCTGCCTTCTGAAACATCCGGTTCAAAGGAATTTGTCACCGTTGTTGGTGTTCTTGTTATTTCTGCTTCTTCAAATAGTTGTCGATCACGGAACGCCTCGCCTTGACGTTGTGGTACATTTGACGGTGGAACTGGTGTATAACTAATTGGTTCAGAACCTGGAATGTTACCTTCTGGAAAGATTGTGTAACTATCATCAGTTTCCAATAATAGCATATCCCCACTTCTACTTCTACCGTCATAACCTCGCAAAAGTGATCCAAATGATGTAGACTCCTCTATTGGGAGTTCCGGTTGTTGTTGTTGTTGTTGTTGAAAATTATTCTCATCTACAATAGTACTAGGGGCACCGTAACCCCTACCTGCAGTAGAGGAAGAATTTCTTCTTTGAGAGACTCTCCTCTCTGGTATGGCGTTACATTGATTCTTCTCCTTTTCCTCCTCATTATCCTTTCCACTATGCCACCATACTGGGGCAACCACATCTTTATATTGTTGCTCTACATCTTGCAACATAAATCGACAGTTAGGACATGTTCGTGTCCTTCCAAGCCACCGTTCCAAACATGGAACGTCAAACATATGCCCACAAGGGAGTCTACATACCTCAGCATTGGCAACAAATGATTCCTGACATATGGAGCATACACATTGTCCATCCTTTTCCAGTTGTGCAATGATATCCTCTCGCAACTTCATCTTTTGTAGCCGTCCCACTGCCTCGCGTTCCAACGGGGCCGCCATTCGCCGCCGCTGCTCACCAAATATCACCTGCAGTGCGAGTGCCTGCAGCAACAACGGCCCGAGTTCCGCCATGAACGGCAGGGACGCCAGCGGCGGTTCCGCTTCGGTGGCGAATCGCAGTGCACTCCGCTCGCCGCCCACACCGCCGGACTCGCCCTCCACGCGGCCGAGCACAACCGTCATTTGATCGCCGTCGTCCCCATCCCGCCGCACACGGAGGACGAGCGGCTGGCCGGTGCGCTCCCGCTGGAGTATTCGATCCCGCACAACCTGCAGCACAAAATTATACTCCTCATCCTCCAGCATCACATCACTGCCATCTCGCATTGTTCGTGATGTCACCACCTCACTGCCTCACACACCTCACAGTTGTTTAAGCAACTGAGACCAGTCAAAAACACAGACAAACACACACACAGAGGAAAAGGAAAAGGAAAATAAATATATCCCTCAAGCGATATAGAAGGGAAAATCACGTTTGCAAAAAAAAAAAAAAAAACTGTATACTTTGTCCTCTGATACCTCTATAAAACCCTAGTATTGCGAAAGCAAAAAAAAAGATAAAGCAATAATAAATATAAAAATGAACAAGAATCACCACCCCCCCAAACTAAATATGTGCAAAGAAAAAGAAAGAAAAAGAAGAAAAGAAAGCAAAAAAAAAGAATGAAACATAAAGAGAGAAATAGAGAGAAACAACCAAAGCAATTAAAAAAAAAAATAAATTAATTAATAGAGAGAGACATACCCACAGAGATATAGACATAGACATTATGGTGTTGAATGTTAGCTACCCCTTCCACTCTTCCTCTCCCCCTAAAGCGGAACTTACGAAAAGAATGAAAGAGAGCATATCACCATTTCACCTTTCTCAATCCTCCATGTTTCCTGCTCCATTTTTTTTTTTCCCCTCATTCATAATAATATAACCTCGATAGTTCTCAACAGCAGAGACGATTACACAATCATATAATCTCGCACAAACTCCCTCTTTCACATTTTTTTCTTTCTTCTTCGATGCCAGTTTTTCTAGCGCTGCTGTGAGTTTTCTTCTTCCTCTCCTTCATCCAGGATCTTTGGAAAAATGAAATGGGTAAAAACTCGTGTGAAGAAAAAGTACAGTCCTTGTATTACGCTTCCTTTCCTTTCTTTTTCCCTCTTCTGTGAAGAAGGAGGTTACGCGTAAACGTACCTCCTCTAATCCCTTCTTTCTTCCGTTCTTCTTTTTTTTTTCATGAGAACACTCTCTCCCTCGCCTGGGCGGCTATCGATAAAGAAAAGATTAAAGACGACCTTTAAACAGATCTTCTCACTCTTCTTTAACCGCCACTCTCCCTCTCTCTCTTTTTTTTTTTGTCTCATAATGTTTCTCCCTTTTTAATCTTTTCCTCTCACAACCCGTTTTTTTTTTTTCTTCTTTTTCTTCATTGAACTCGTAATACCCAGAAACACTTACACACGCACGGACACACTCTCTTTCATTCTTTTTTTTCCCTTTATTATTAGGCAGAGAACCATGACTTGTAGCGGTTCTTCAGCTCTTGCAACTGTGGGTCCGTTAATTCAAGTGGTTTCTCATCTTTAGCGAATTCAGCAATAAGGGATTTCTGTTTATCTGTAAGTGACTTGGGCAAGAGCACAGCGAAGTGAATGTAGAAATCTCCTGTCTTGTTTTGGTTAGGTCGATGAACGCCACGACCCCGCAAGACGAGTTTGTCTCCTTGTTGTGTTCCGACGGGTACCTTTGTCTCTACCTCTCCTGTTAACGTTGGTACACGCACTGTACCTCCCAACACAGCCGTAGCGAGAGAGATAGGTGTAATAACATGAATGTCACACCCTTCACGGTGAAATACTGGATGTTCATCAACCGTAATTTCCACATACAAGTTACCTGGGGGTCCATTACGTACACCTGCTTCTCCTTTTCCTGTCACCTTGAGACGTTCCTTGTTATCTACGCCTTTAGGAACAGGCAAAGTTTGTACGCTGCGATCCTTAACAATACCCTTCCCACTACAATGAGTGCAGGAGGAACGCCCTGTCTCACCAGTTCCACCACAGTGGGTGCAATCCTGCTGCATGTGAAAAAATCCTGTACTCATTACTTTCTTTCCTCTTCCACCACAGTGTACACATTTTGCCTTGGAGCCTGAATCCTGAGATCCACTCCCTGAACAAGCCCCACATCGACGGAATGTGTTAAACGATATTTCTTTACTGCAACCGTTAACAGCTTCCAAGAATGAAAGTCGTAGTTTGAAGTGAATATCTGCACCAGGTTCCGGTCCCTGAGGTTTTCGAGTTTTATCTTTACCTGCCCCACTCATCTTTTGGAAAATTTCCTCAAAATCATTAAAAGAAAATCCTTGTCCTCCTGCAGCTGATGCAAAAGGATTACCACCAGCTCCACCAAAAGGATTCGCACCTCCGAATGGGTTTTCACCACCAGCTTGTGCGAAAGGATTAAAACCAGGCCCTGAACCAAATCTGTCTGCTGCTCCTGAGTTACCAGTCATGTCATACATACTACGCTTCTGTGGGTCAGACAGTACATCAAATGCTTGCTTCACATCTGCAAAATCTTCTGCAGCGCGCGGGTTGGGATTAACATCAGGATGCAGTTGTTTGGCTTTCTTCTTATAGGCTGATTTAATTTCTTCTTGTGAGGCATTTCGTGTTACCCCAAGAACAGAATATAAATCCTTCTTTGCGTTGGTAGATGAAAACCGTCTAGACACACCAATGCCTGCGGTAGTAGCAGCAGCAGCAGTAGTGGTAGTGGTCATTCTCGTAGTAGTAGTAGTAATATTAGCATTAGTAGCAGAACCCATACCATAAAGTGAAGTAAATGATGTAAATTTACTTTTAGGGGATCCACAGAAAAATCTAATACTAACACCAGAAACATTTATAGGAGATACAACTCGCCTCATTGAATGTTGAATTACGACATTCTGATGTTTCATCTTTTCGCTATCCTAGGAGCACTGATTCTCCCAATTATCTATTTACCCTTTTTCGTGCGATATTCGCCTTGTGACCTACAGCAAGCAAAAGAATTCCAAAATATCGAAAAAAGAAAAAAGAGAGAAAAGAAAAGAAAAAAAAAAAAAACAGAAAAGTACATTCGATGCAAATGCAGAAAAACACACACACACAGAGAAAGTCTCTAGTGATACTCGAAAGAGTTCTAACGAGCGAAAAAAAAAGAAAAGAAAAAAAAAAACTCAAAAACAAATAAGAAGAAAAGAAAAACATCACTTGATGTCGTGGTTCATTGCATTCGTTTACGCTCAAGCCATCAGGTTCTGCTGAGTGATCTTACCCTTTGGTGTGATCAGCTTGACGTGGATACCGCGTTGCTCGAGCTTGCCAGCATCGCGCAGTGCCTCATACTCGGAGCGGAGGATGTCTGTGAAGCCCCAGTACTTTGATGTCACAATAATCTGGCGACCAGGGAACTTCATCTTGGCGCGGCGGAGGGACTCCAGAGCCTGTGGGATGAAGGTCTCCTTCGTGCGCATGGAGAGCAGAATCTGACCAATGCGGACACGAGCGCAGGTGCCGTTGGGCTTACCATAAGACTGGCGCATACCCGTCTGCAGACGATCCGCACCAGCGCAGGAAAGCATCTTGTTAATACGAACAACGTGGAACGGGTGAGCACGGATACGCATGTGGAAGGCCTCCTTGTTGGCACGCTTCACCATGTACTTGTTGGCCTGAATACGGGCGGCCTCAAGAGCCTCTGACGAGATCTGCTCAAGTTCGCGGGAAACAACGTGGATGCATACAGGGAACTCGTCCACTGGGGCACGGCGCTTACCAATGTCGAAGTTACGGATCTTTGGGTCAGGTACACCTCGGCAGAAACGCGACTTTGGGTACGGCTTGTTCTTACAGAAGCGGTAGCAACGCGAGGGACGGCGAGCCATGATGAGATAGGTCTCACGACAAACCACTTTCCAGAAATATGAGGACAGAAAGAAAAAAAGAAAAAAAAAAAAAAAGAGAAAAAAAAGAAAAAATATAATACGACAGTGTACGTAAGAAAAATGTGAATGTGTGTGAATATGAATGTGAATGTGTGAGTGTGTAAATTTGTGTTTCCATATCCCCAGAACAATAAGGCTAAACAGAAACCGCCCAAACATAAAGTCTTTACGCAAATCACATAACGCAGAATACAACAAACAAAATAGGAATACTGGTTTTATAATTCACATTCATTTCAGTTTTTCTCTCTTTTTTTACCCAGTTTCCAGTTTTTTTCAGCTGGAATAAATATCACTCTGCCGGAAGCGGTTTCTCGCCCAACTGGATCATTACTTCTCTTACTTCGGCATAAACTTCTTCACGGCTGCGGTTAGCGTTTATCGTGTGGAGACGACCCTCATTCTTGTATCGCTCCACGACTGGCATACACTGCTCAATATTTGTGCGGAAACGGCGACGGAGGACTTCCGGATTATCATCTTCACGGCCAGATCCTTCCTGCGCGCGATGCATCACTCGCTCCTCCATCGTCTCTTCTGAACAATCAAAATAAAGGATACCTTTTGCTGGGACGATGCCCTCTTCAAACATGAGGGCCTGATCCATTTTACGTGGAAAACCATCAATGATATATCCTCGCGGATTTGGTTTCTCCGCCATAGCATGTGAAATTAGTTCCACGGTGATATCAGAGGGGACAATATTTCCTGCTCGCATAAGTTCTGCAATTTTCTTCGCCACTTCACTTGTGCCACTCTTACTTGCCTCACGAAGAAGGTCTCCAGCGCTGAAGTGTGTAAATCCAAATTCCTTGACTAGTAAAGCACATGCTGTACCTTTGCCGGAACCCGGACCACCGAGAACAAAATATACCTTTGGCTTGGACAATTCCGCCATGTGTTGCTTTTATTCGATTCTTCTCTTTTTTTTATCCTGCAATCTTAAATATAAAACGGTTTTTATGCCGACTGATGCTTTTAATACTTTTGTCTTTAATCTTCTTCTTGGTAATAAATGCACCCATAAAGGAAAACATAGAGAGACAGGAAAAAAAGGGGGAAAAGGAGGGCCAAATGAAAACAGATATATAGGAAAAAAAAAAAACGAGAAAAATGTAAATTTCTTTCATTACTGAGAATTATCCACTTTTTTCTTCACAGACTATACAGAGGCAATACTCCTGTGCGTAACAACAGGAGGAAAGCAATTGCCCAGTTCGCAACTCCTCCTCTATTCTAGCAATAATAACCACAATGACAGTAGAAAGTACCAACAGTAAACCAAGAAACCCTTTTTCTTCCCCCCTCCTACTGAGCCTTCAAAGTGTTTCTTCTAAATCAATGTCGAAACTACACGCATAGGACGTCCACGTGCATCAAGCAAATCACCTCGCCAGTTCCGCCGCACATAATCCCCTGGGCGTCGGTATCTCGTGTCAATGTGAGAATCGATAAGTGCTTCTTGGGCTGTCCGACCCACCTCGTGGCGTAATGCATGTTGTCGATCCCACTCACGTCCCTTTGGTGCCACTCGGACCATCTCATCATACATCATTCGCTCCTTGGAGAGAAGCTCCCTCGCCACCGGACGAACAAAGACAACCTTAGTATTGATATTATTATCATCATAATCATCTTCTTCTTCTTGAATCCCTTCTTCTTCTTTTCCATCAATATCGTTATCTCGGAGTATAGTTTTTTTTCCAGAGTTACGACTAAGAGAGCGAAAAATGGGAGAATATATGTGTCCAGAGTCAAAAACGCCCCTAACACCTTCTTCGAGTTCACATAGTGGTTTTCTAGCAGCAATCAAAGCCTCACCTAATCGGCGTTTGCCTTTTGGAATGACTTCTCTCTCTTCACTACTTGCTGGAGTAAACCAGCTGTAACTGTAACCCTCCTTCCTGAGGTCACGCTGCATTAATCCCGGCTCCTTCCCAGTGATGACTTTGTAGTAATCAAACAACAAAGGTCGTGTTAGAGCTTGACGAGGAGGGACAGGAATACGATGTGATGGTGATGTACTAGTAAATGTTGTAAAAGAATCGTATTCCACAATAGCACCATTGTCTCCTGCAGAAAGAAGACGTTGACGTCTTCTTCTTGCAGCAGCACGCGTTCGCGCAGCTACATGACGCATATCAACTGAGACGCTCATAAATGTGCAAGAAACACAACTCCACACTTAACCCCCTCCTCTCAGGAGGGTAGAAAGTAGGATAACGCCCTGCATGTTTAAATAATAAAAAAAAAAACGAGAAATAAGAGAAAACACAAAAAAAAGGAAAAGATGAAATCGTTTCCAAAGACATCTGACCACTAAACTCATTTCAATTCTAGGAAAACGAATGAGCAAAAATGGATAAAGAGAGAGAGAAAAAGGATGTGTGAATGTGCGTATAGATGAAGTAACTCTCCCTCTTTTTCGCTTTTCTTCTTCTTTTTCTTCTTCTAATCTCTTCTATTTATAGCGTTCTCTACATTTTGTGATAGTAATGATTATGTACAACTATAACACTTGCCTCGTCATGTCGTTTTACCTCTGTAACTGGTGAATGTTGACAACTTGACCCTATATGAGGTGATGATGAATCCACCGAACTCACACATAAGGCACAATTTGGTAATCCACAGTACACACCGGATACACCGGCCGTGTAGAGAAACTCTCGCTTCACCGCTGTGACGTCCACGGCTTTCCCTGCAGATGTAGAAGCTTGTACTCCCACACCTGAGGCATTTTCTAAATGTCTTCCTTTCATAGAAGTGAAAGGAGATTCCACAGTTTTATCTAATCTACTTTCTTCTTTTTCTGCTGCCACTGATCTTGCTGATGCTGCTGCTGCTGTTGGTGGTGGTGGTAGTGGTACAGTCAACATGGCAGAAGATCCCAACGCCTTCTCTTTAGTGAAAGCTTCCGTTCCTCCACTTTCCTTACTGCTACTCGCCGCAGTACCAGAAGGAGCTGGTAAGGGGTAATCAACCCTAGTCTGAAATTCCGTTGCAGTTTGAGATGGAAAGTTACCATCATTTCTAACTGTAAAGTGAGAATCTATGTTTCCAGGCTCTTTTTGTACTCTCTTCTTCTCATCTCCATCAGTTTTAAAACCAGTTAATGGTTCAGAAAGCGCTGTCGCAATTAGAGTCTGTCCTGGCACCATATAAGGTGGTTCCACACGTACATTTTCTAGTACTCTAGCAGAAGAATTGTTCATACTCAAGAAATATTTCCCATCTCTTGTTTCCCTCTCTTGATTCTCTTTAAGTGGTGCAGTTTGATTTTTTATTAAAAAACCGCATAGTATACAATACTTCTTCTGCCTCCTTTCATTACTTTCCATATCACACATTAATTTTTCATGGGTTACAGGACATTCTTGTGGTGAGTACTCCACTAAGGGAGCATAACTTACCCTCACACCACAATCTGGACAGTAAACAAAACCATTTTCCAACATACTTTGATGGTCCTCCATTGAACAGTGAGAAAAATTATTATTAAGGTCAGTTTGATGGATATTTGATGGAGGTGTCGGTGAAAATATTTTTGGCAGATTAGGTGGTAAATCTGTTACCTGATGCGTAGACACATCATACAGAGAGTGTTTAGTAGTATTAATAGCATTGAAAGACTTCGTTTCTAGTGGTTCTGATGATATTACTCCTACACTATTATTACTGGATGAATTCAATGGCGCAAGAGGAATTCTCCAATACGATGTAGGTAACGGTAACGGAGCTTCTGAAGAAGCAGTATGCATTACTGGAGGCACCACAATTTGTGTTGGCAACAAATGTCGTAATTCATCCGTTATCCCAGGACCTGTGTTATTATCTAAAGATGTGGTAATTAAACGTTTACCACTTTCTCTCATCACTCTTCTCCTTTTTGACTTACCACCTTCTGAAGGATATGGTGGATGAACATCTTTACACCATGGTCTACTTCGAACAGGAAGAGTACAATGTTTTCTTAAAGAAGGTAAAGAATGTTGTTGCACCTCAGCAGACATCTCATTACTCAGTGCATCTTCAGAAGCCTCACCACCCCAAACATTTCCGAGTATATATGCCTTTGTACCGAGTGCAGTTGTGTATGATTGCACATTCCGGTGCCTGTCTTGCGACATACACCTTTTTTTCTTTCTTCTTTTTGTTTTCCACACTCTCTTCTCCAGTTTCCACAGAGTGTGGGTTTTCGCCTATCAGATCAAAAAGAGAAATTAAAAAGTAATTAAAAATTAAAACGTTAAGAATAAAAGGGGAAGGAAAGACCCAACCCCATAGCAAAGAACAAGAATAAGAGAGAGAGAGAGAGAGAGAAAGAAAGAAAGAAATATATATATACAGATAGGAAAACCAACGAGTGGGTGAAACAAAGCAAGAGAATACACCGAAACGATGATGGGAATGGAGTGAAGAGGAGGAGTAGGAAGAAAAAGAAATCGTTTTTCTTTTTATATGTGGGCGTCATTACAAATAAATAAATAAAAAAACCTCCAATTCCTGAGTGGCACACATTACATTTCCATACTTTGCACTCTTTTACTTTCTGCCACAGAATAATAAAATAAACCACTGTTACTTTTTCCCATCATCTAACCATGATAGATGTGAGAGGGACTGCGTTAACTTGTGGATCTTTTGTTCCCATTCTTCTTGCTCTTCACTGACTCTTTTCGGTTCTTGTGAGCCCCACCCTCTCCAGAATTCTGAAGGAACGGCCAAACACGTCCATTAAGAAGTCCTGACGTAGCCGTGTAAACTCGCTCACTTTCAAGAACTAGTCTCGTCGCCCTTCGAAGAGCCACACTATCAATGAGAATATGATAAAATGAGGACGATAACTCTCCACCACAATTGTTCCCGTTTCCTGCAATTTGAGGTGATGACACTGACGAGGAGAGAGCCGAGGATCGTTTGGCTTCCTCTAGTGTTCTATAGTCAATGTCTTCCAATAGCAGACCTACTGTATCGACATGAGCAATGACGCAGCGCTCTAGTGTTTTCAGGGTACACACATCGAGCACATACATCTCATCATTATTAATTTCATCAGGGTGAAGAAGAAATCCTTGATGAGAGGCAGAACTGCGGATAAGGGGTCGCAGTAACAAGTAACCTAAATTTTTACGCTGCATCTCTATTATAACAAATAACTCGTTTAAAGGATCAACAGAAGCATTACCAAAGGAAGACTGACAACACCATACAATATCTCCTACATCCATACCATGACGGTAGTCACCTTTGTAACGTTGCCAACGTCCAACTGGTGTTCGTCTATCAAGCACTGCTGCATATGTGTATGGTACGATATTTCCATCACAAACAGCATAACGTTCCAATCGAGCATCATACTCTTCACCGTATGACCATGCCAAAAGTTGTTCTCCCACCTCTATATCAGTCGTCGCAATAAAGAATGGGATGGTTACAAAGTGACTGTGTTCTTCAAGAAATACCCGGCGTCCAGCAAGGGGTCGGTACCGTTTTTTCTTTACCACAATTCCCCCAGTATTGTTCTCTGTAATACCAAGTTTTTGTGATTTTTCTAACCTTCGTTGTGGGAGAACTTTACGTGTTTTCTTTTTTGTCTGTGTGTTACCTTTTCGACGCTTTTCAAGCGCTGCAGCAAGAGGAGAAAACTCACTTGTGACGGATAACATCACTGAACACAGTTCAACATTACCATAGTTGCTCAAATTATAGCGATGGTTTGCATATCGCATCAGACCTTGACCAAAACAAAGTCCATGTCGACCCATACCAAGTGCATACGTCGCATCATCAACCGATACATCTTCTGGTACGGCATCATCAGCTCTACTCTTGCTACTCCTAGCACTATTGGTAGTAGCAGCAGAATTAGTAGAATGAGAACCCGTGGCAATAGTAGGGGACGCAATATTATCAGAACCCACAGCGAGACGCCGTCTTCTCGCTTCTACTACCTTTGTAGCGACCGCTGGACCGCAGTAAAGAAAGCATGTAGCGTATGGTACTGGATGTGCTGCAAAGAGACCCTTTTCGCCTTCCCCAATGGCTGTTGCCGGCGCGAGATCAAGCAGTGTGAAGGGGAATCCCGCCACTGGCTCTGCCCCGGCGTGGCGTGCACCAACACCGTGGTAGAAGGCGAGTCCAGGTGGCCACATGTGAAAACGTTTCACCCCACGTGCAACACTGCCGTGGCTGTTCGGCCCGAACTGTTGTTCATACCACGTCGCTTCATCCAAGCAGCGGTGGTACGAGCGGAGACACAGACGCACTGCCTCACCTTCCTCAATAGGTGTAGTGGCCACTACTGCCATAAATGTAGCCAGTGGAAACTTCATTCTCTCCTCAATTCCTGTAGTACTAGAGGAAGGGGCACTCTCATCATCATGGTAATTCCCTTCTCCAGGTAGAACAGTTGTAGAAGGGTGACCGTAATGAAGTGCAATGCAACGAGCATTAGGCCATTGACAGGGATCCTGAATGTATTGAGATCCGTCATCCTCATCCCATAGAGACCTTGCCCTCTGTACAAGTCTAACAAACGCCGCATCTCCTTCTACTGCAAGAACAGAATGCCGAAGAAAACGACGTGCGGCGTGAACGGTGTCACCATTACGATTTTGATTCTTCTTTTGAAGAGAAAGACCAATCACACATATTTGTGATGCCTGACGTACACACTTAATTCTCTGTTCTGCGTCGTATCCAAAATACGCCTTCAGAAATTGGTCATATCGCTGCTGATGAAAGGCCCAAAGTGTTGGTGATCCTTTATCGTTTTCCCCTTCCTTTGCAACAAATGGACTTGAATTGTTGCAACTATCTGCATTATTGCAGTTATCACTGCTTTCACATTTGCTCGATGTTTTGGAGATGGATTTAATATTTTTCACCTCTTCAATAGGATTTAGCGATGGTAGTAAGTCTATATCTTCCGATTTTGCCTCAACTTTGATATGTGGATGCACCTCAACACCCATTTTTCACCTCTTCCTGCCCACTAATATGCATCAAGTGGGGAAAAAATAAATTAACAAATTGAAGAGGGTGACAAAGTGTATTTGTATTTGTGTGTGTATGTGTGTGTACGCACACAAAATAAAAATAAAAAAATAAAAGAGAAAAAAAAAGGCAGATCATCAACACCACCAACACAAGCAGTACATGAAAAGAATAAAAATAGAAACTAAAAACAAAAGGACCAAAACCAAGAAACAACAATAAAAAATAAAAATACAGCATACTATCCGTCATTCGTTCTATGGAACAAGTACCATCAGGCCTCCTTGTGTGATTCAAGTATATTCAAACTTTGCTGTAGCCTTGACAAAGTTAAAGAATTACAAGGGAAACAAAAAAAAAAGAAAAAAAGAAAATATGACGCAAAACTTTCCGTTATTCGTCATCTAGGAACTTGGACGTCTTCACATTGACGGTCCCATTGTCATTCTTCTGTGCGAAACGGTTCACACCACGCCCTGCACGAGCGCTGCGATCGAGGGTTATATCGGCGCCATCAGACTGCAGCAGCTCGAGTTCCCGTTTGACAAGATAGCGCTTCACGTCGGCTGCGGCGTACCGCTCGGGGTCGAGGCCCTTCTCTCTGAAGAGCGGGATGAGACATTCCTGCAGGTACGACTCGGCCGACTCCGCCGCCTCCTGCGGCCGCACGCGGTGCCCAAGTCGGCGAAGACAGACGATCATCTCGCGGCAGCGCAGCGCCACCGCCCCGTCGCCCTCCACCCGCAGTCGCTTCTCCGCAGGCTCGCCGTCGGCTTCTTCTTCTTCTTCCTCATCATCATCATCTTCTTCCTCCTCGTCCTCTCCATCATCATCATCTTCTTCTTCTTCATCCTCTTCTTCCTCCCCCTCCTCTTCTTCTTCATCATCATCATCATCATCGTCATCATCGCTATCTTCTTGCTCTTTATCTTGCTTTTCGGCGTTGCTGTTTTCTGGGTTATAGAAAGATTGAATGATATCAGCGAGAAGTTGCCTCTTTTGGGAGAGATATTCTGCAGGAAAAATGGTTGCGTACTTCGTGCCCAGCAGTTGTAATACAACATCCACCGTTAATCGTTTTTCCTTAGGCACACGTTCTAGCATCGTTTTGATCAAGCCAGTCAACTTGCCGTCCCTTTCGTCAGTAGTGGTGGCGGCAGCCATCCTGTTCGTTCGAATTTCTTTTGGAGGGGTCTCCCGATGTGGGTGTGTTTATATGTCTTCTATTGGAAATTAGAACGGTAGCAGTAGGGGTGAGTCACTTCGACTTGGTGCTGTAAAACAGTAGGAGTCAGCAAATGATGATGAAACAAGTGAGAAAAGAGAAGAAAAAAAAAAAGGATTAATAGAGAGAATGAATGAGAGAAACAAAAGGAAGCAAGTAAAAGAAAGAAAAAAAGAACAGAGGAAAAAAAAAATAAGCAAGAGTCCAAGAAGAATACATAGAAAGCATGGAATGTTAAAAAACTACACACGCACAGAGACATATACGAAAAAAAAAAGAAAAAGAAAAAAAAAAAAACAGGAGCAAGTGTAGATTACTCTACAGAAGGATTTGCATGTTGTGGTAAAGGCAAGAAGAGCATGCAAGAACTTTTTTGCCCATTTCCCCTCCTCTGGTCGTTTTGCTTTACTTCCGTTTCTTTCTTTTTTTTTTTTTCTTATCATCTCTTGTAGAAGAATGCGCTAATGAGGCACAACCGGATTCACTTCGGGGAAGTCGACAGTAAAAAGGTCAGGAACCATCACTTGCTGTGGTAGTACCGGTTGTGTTGATGGTGAATCCCGCAAACGTTCACCCCATGGACGTAATGCATGACCATTACTGCGATAACTATGAGATAATGATGGCATCAACGAGGGGGGATTCATATCATCAAAGTTATCATCACTCACCGGGTGGAGTTCTCTCACTCGTCGTCGCAACGTATCAACGAGGAGATCCTTTCGTGTAATAATTCCCACTACGGCGTCACCATCTACAACGACCATGTGACGTAATCCCATCATTCGAAAAGTATGATACGCCATTTGTAGATTAAAGAATGGAGGAATTACCCATGGGCTACGGTTTACAATTAGAGAAAAATCAAGTACCGGTGGTAAACGACTCTCATCTAAAAGGAACAAGTTATCATTGTCAATTCTAGAACTAATACTATGGAGACTGGTGTTATTGTGATCCACACCCCCTGTGTGTCCTTCACTGTGATTAGAACGTGCCCAGAGCTCTGACCATCTTCTGTCCCCCAGAACAAAGAATAGAGACGTTTTGTGCGTTAACCACTCCGTCCATGTCATTTTGTTAGTTGCAAGTACACCAGGAGAAAGATTTCCACCCAAACCATCAGTTTGAGAACTAGGTACAGTACTCTGGGTATTGGTACTATATAATGTGGGGAGAGTAAGATAAATCTGTACATCTTCACGTGTGACTAGTCCAACAAATTTGTAACGTACACGATCTTGCCCGTCTTCTCCTACTCCCACTCCTCCTTCTCCACAATTCCCTGTATGAAGGATTCCATCAGATTGTGTTTTTCTCTCATCTACTGCTTCCACTACCGGGAAAGCGTGGTGCGCAGTTTGTCGTAGTGCCTCCATTACAACAGATGTTTTCTCTCGCAATCGAAGTGTCACTACATCTGAGGCCATTACATCCGCTGCTGTTAATTGTTCAAACTCTGGTCGTAACAAATGTGCCTGTAGATAAGGTACTGAATCAAGACGAAGCATCTGATGATAGAGTGGTTCACTAATAAGATCTGCCACCGTCTTTGACATTACAATAGCAACCATCACAGGAAGTAAGTAATGAAGTTCTGATGATAACTCCACCATGATAACACATATAGACATAGTCATTCGTGAAGTTCCTGAAAGAAAAGCCCCAGCACCAATGAGTGCAAAAACTCCAGGATCCAACCATGCCTGTGATGCCCAGTAACTACGTTCAGCACCAGCTCCACGAACTGTCAAAAACCACAAAAATTGACCATAGAGACGACCAAATGCGGCTCCTATAACGAGACTTGGTACTACTAATCCACCAGAAACTGATGTTCCATTTGACCAACATGCAAACAAAGTATAAAGTATGAGAAATAGAAATATATACCCTGCAGGAAATTCACCAATTGTTTGCCGTGAAAAAAGATGACGTATAGTGTCTTTCCCAGTTCCCATTGTCAAGGTTGCCAGAGGAGCATATGATTCGTTATTTAAACAAGTCGCTGTAAACAATCGTGTTCGATTTTCAGTACCCCATACCAATGTATCATTTGAACTGTCCATCCCATACTTTGGCCTGCAATCAGGTACTAAAGCAAGTATATATGACAATGTACCATATATTGCTACTATAACAAGTGGTTCAAGGAAACGACGAAGTAAAAATGGTCGTAAATATTTTCGACGATATTTTACCAACATGAGATTTACTTTAGTAAATACAGCTGCAAGTGCTCCACAGAGGATTCCAAGAAAAAAAGATGGTACAATAGATAGTAAATTAAGTGGAATTGTCAAATTTACTTCAAAAAGAACTGAAACAGCGTTTGATACCCATCCTAATAATCGTTGATCTTCCATTAAAGAACGAAACATACTAATAGTTGTAAAACAAATCATAGTAGCAAGAAAAATCTGTCCACTTGCACTATGATCCCAAAAACTTGATACTTCCTCCATTACGAAGAGTAATCCACCTATTGGTGCTCCAAAGGCTGCACTCACACCACATGCAGCGCCTGCTGTAATGAAATCTCGTCGATCCTTATTGTTTCGAAATGCATGAAATAGTTTCGTCTGACATCCAAGTGTACGACTTCGCCCTTGCGTGACTCCCGCTCCAGTGATGGCTCCAAGATGAATGAGTGGGGCCTCAAGTCCCACCGGCAGACCACCGGCCACCGCACACATACAGGAAATACCTTTTGCAAAGAATGTACGAACATTCATCGCCTTTCGCATCTGTACACCGTTGAGGTATGCAATAACGTCTGGTATTCCACCACCCGATGCGGCTGGTTCAAATAATACCACAACAAGTGTTGCAATGGCTACAAGTGCTAATGAAACACCAATAAAGAAAAAGAATCCCATAAATCGACCCATCACGTGATGTTTAGTAATCATAGCGTCAAGTTTTTCAGCTCTATACTCTTCCATATATTCTACCGCGAATGAAATAACCATAGCTACTATACCTACAAAAATAGCAATGAGAACATGTAGAAACCAACGTAACGCTTCGTTTCGTTCATCAGCATCATAATTCTTAACAGCATCCAATACATTCATTCGGGCTCCCTCAAAGTAGTGTGGTAATCCATTTTCAACTTCTGCTAATACTTCCTGTGCCGGTTGCTCAGCAACAACAGTGGACTCTACAGAATGTTCAGCATAATGTTGTCGTAAGTGCTTCATGTACATAGACGGATAAGGTTTGTAATAATCAAATGACTCAAAACTTTCTTGTTTTTCTTTTTCTTCTGGTGTCATTTCCTCCAAGTACTGTGTGTAGGGATTCGCTGTTTCCCAAAACTCTCGTAACAATTGCCGCATCATTTTTGATGAATTTTTACACGTCGTACTGCTAAAGATATATATATATATATATATATTTTTTTTTATAAATAATGTGATATAAGTTTATTTTCAAAATAAATGTATCCGAGTAAATATGTATCTATTTATCTCTCTCTTTGTGTGTGTGTATATATATATATGTGAATGTACGCAACACTATACAAAAATTCATTTTTAAAAAAGTTAACAAAAACGAGAAATACAATTCCTCTGATACGCAAAACAATTGGGCATCCAGAACACATAAATACACAAGATTCATTTTATTTAGTTAATGAGAAGATTAAACAAATAAAAAGAAAATTTACAAGGGTGTGTTGTATCCTCAATGTCTCACTATTCTCTTCGCTTGGCTTTCATTCTTTCTTTTTTTATTTTTCTTTCTCAACCAAACACACTATCCATACGCCAATTCAAGAAAAAAAAAAAACTACTACTTTCTCCTTCCCACACTCTGTACAGACTGCAAATAGAAACAAAAAAAAAACTTTTTTTTTTTTTGCAATGGGAGTTAGGGAATTAACGGGGTTCAGTCACCAGAACAATAATAATAATAACAATAATAATAACAACCATGAATACTACTTCCAGGCATTCAATATGGATTCAGTGCTTTGGAAATAAAGAGACAAGAAAGACGATGTCTTTTTTTATGAATCCAAAAATAGGGTAGAACAGTTCATCTCATTTTATTTTTTTATAATAAAATAAAAAAAAGGATCCACATAGCTCACACAGCAAAGAAGAAGAGAACAAAATCTTCATATGCAGTATCGAAAAAAAAAAAAACACGACACAAGAAAGAAAGCAAACAAGAAAAACGTTGTGATGAGTCAGAATAAGATATGGTGGTAAACAAACACCAATATCACAACAAAAGAAGCACAGACTGCAAATACAAGGACATAAACAAGAAGAGGTAATCAACAATAACAACAACAAGGTTAACTCTATCACTTGAGAACTGCAGAAGGAATCCCTCTCTTGAATTAGGAAGAGAAAGAGAGAAATAGATAGAGTGAAAGAAAAAAAAAAGAAGTGAAGAAAGTGAATACTCTCTACCTCTTTCTTTTCCTACCTTTCTCTCCTTGTTAGCGTTATTGTATAGCGCACTCAATAGAAAAAAAAAAAAGAATTGCACGTCCACACTTCTATATTTCTTGGTGTCCTTTCATTCTGTTTCCCTAAGAATGAGACCCAATAGAGGTTCATTCTCAAGATTGAATATATTTAAACGAATTAAAACATAATACAAAATTGTTGTCTGGTAGAAGAAAATTTCAGGGATTCAAAAGTAAAAATAACACACACACACACACACTGATATATATATTTATCACAAATATCCTTTACTTTTTTTCTCCCATTCATTCATTCATTCATTTATTTATTCCTTCACTCTATGCAGCCCCCACCTTTACGGATGTCGCCGACTCTTGCGCTCCACGTACTTGTCCACCGCCGCCTTCCCTCCCCGCTGCTCCAGTCGCTCGAACTTATCGGCCAACACCGCCCGCCGCAGCTCCGATCGGCGCGGAACGAACGCCCGCCGCTTGACGCCCGCCCGCACCGCCGCCGCCTCGCGGGTGACGACTTCGCGTTTCACCGCCACAGCGGCACTGCGCGCCTGCCGGCCCTTTTCGCGCGAGACGTGCAGTTGAGACTCGCGCTGGAGTTGCTGCAGCTCCGCCTGCAGTGTGGCCAGCGGCTGCAGACGCATGTCCGCCAGCTCGTCCAGGTGATCTTCGCCAAACACCTCGCGCTCATTCTCGGAGAGGTCGTACTCCGCGAGATCCGCCCCGCTCTCCTCCAGCTCCCCGCGGCGGATGAGGCACTTCAGACAGCGTATGCGGTGCCGGCGGCGCCTCTGCTCCTCCTCCTGCTGCTCCCGCAGGAACTTGTAGTGCTGCTCGAACTGCTGCTCATCCGCCGTGCCGTAGAGATCACTGAAGCGTGGGTCAATCGCCGCCCGCCGGCGCACGGCTGGAATATCGTTGCGACGCTTCGGACGCACTCGTGCACTGCGCTCCGGCGGAGGGGCATCAGAGTTATCACCCGCCATTCCACCTGCTACGTTGGTTGCTGTTGCTCTCTTTCGTTTTGTTTCTTTAAAAATAAAATAAAAAGAATAAAAAAAAAATACATGACTTACACCATTATGTACAATAGAATTTCACTTTACCGTGTTATTCAGATAACCTAAACAGTTACAACATTTACCTAAAGTATCAATCACGAAAAAACACGTAAAAAAAAAAAATACAGATCTCCTTTTAATAATTTCTACAAAGACCCATGACCCCAGAGACCCAACGCTTTCTTTACACAATACGTACAACCAAATATAGACACCTTTACACTCATACACTATAGAGAGAGAGTGAAATAGACAACATACACTCTCTATTTCAGAGGGTGATAGATTTGTAGAACTCTTCCCCCAGCAAATCTCCTTGCTGTAACTACTGCCTCATCGATCATCTTTTTTCCACCTCTGAAGAGGGACATTTTGTCCCCCAAGGTATAATGAAGATTAATAAAGCACAAGAAAAAAAAAGGCATTGCGTGCATCAGTAAAATCACTCCCATACTTTGCATAATTAGAGTTCTGCATTACCACAAACATTTTTTTACAAAAAGATTCTCGGTAATATTATCCATAAAACTGAGATATATCAATACCTCACCATACCTCATCCCCTACATATATATATATATGAACAATGTCAACAAGCAGAAGGTTCCTTCTCTTCGAAAGGTATAACACAAACACATACACACATACATACGTACACAGAGTTTTCCAGTGCTGTGAAAGTCCACGGGGAGGTAGGAGGGAGGTAGAAGGTTACCTTTATGTAACTAATTTTACAATGCATTGGGCCCTTCGTTCATACCAGGTGGTATGTATTTTGAACCATCACCAGCAGTTGGAACAGCAGCAGCGGTACCTTTACCATTACCAGGGTTCATTACAACACTGTTGAACATATTAGCTGCTGCTGCAGTAGTGGCTGCACGGCGTGCAGCTTCTTCCTCTCTAACCACCTGTGCATCCACAAACTCAGGCAGTTTGACAAATATATTTACAACAATCATGATAATGCCGAGAGATACCGCAGTTCCAGATGCAATGTAACGCAAGACACTCCCTCCAAAGGCAAGAGTACCCAAGAAAATGTAGAAAAAACCTCGACCAGTGTATGTGGAAAGAAAATAAAGATACTTCAGCCAGTGATATATGAGACCTCGTAGACACTTCACCTGTCGAAGTTCAGCCGTGAGGGCAAAGAAACTCAGTATTACAAGATATACCTCTAAGACAAAGGTTGAGATTCCAAAGCTAAACGTAATGAGGTTCATAAAGCTAGAGGCCATAATAAGGCCCGTTGATACACAAGACATAATAAGAAATACACGTGCCCAATGCTTACCAGACGCACTTGGACCCTGTTGTTGCTGCTGCTGATAATAGATTGAGTCCTGCGAAAGATATTGAGAAGCTCTAGATGCCATCTCGTATACACCGAATATGCGCAAAAGAACAAAAAACTAAAAATCACGTTGACCGTTTAAAAAGAAAAAAAAAAAACCTGCACACTAACACAGATAAAAAAAGAAAAAAGAAAAAGAAACTCATAAAAAAATTTCTGTGCAAGTAAAACAGAGAATAACAGAGACAAAGACAAAAAGAAAAAGAGAGAAAAAAAAAATGGGTACCTTTCTTCCAAACTCAACTATAAAGACACACACACAGCTGTCATCCGCCAATTATGTCGTAGCCGTAAACCCTCTCAGTTTTCAAAACCGAAAATAGCGTTGATTTCTGCCAAGTGTCTCTCCGTCACATGAGAGAGAACATTATAGAGTGCAAGAAGATTTGTTTTTGTAACTATCGTTAAACTGTGACGCTGTACTGCTGTCAGATCAGTGGCGGCAGCACGCAACGATGAAGAAGAAGCCGACGCTATCACCTCAGCGTACCTATTATCCTCTAGCATCACACGCATCGCACGTTGTAGTTCTTCTGGTGTCACTTGCCGCTTTACACGCTCCACATCTTTTACTGTTACGTGTGCAATGTCGTTAGCTGTGACTCGTTGCAACTTTTCCTCCAGAGTGAGTGAGTAACCATTCATTTCTGTTGTTTTTGATGATGATGATGATGATGTAGTTGTATTTATGGGTTGAGATGCAGAACTCCACCAAGACCACATGTCACCCCACGACCCCCAACCCACCCCTTCTTCCCCTTTCTGCTCGATATTTTGATGCAGCAAGAAAAAGAAAAAAAAAGTTAGAAGGCAAAAAGGTGACTACACAATAGGAACACTTAATAGTTAGAACTAATATGTATAAAGAATATCAATAATAATAAACTCAAGCAAACAAAGAACAACATACGTTCACAGCAGACACTCCATGTCATCCTCCACTCATAAAAACTCATACACTTATACACCATCAAATATTTTCTTCTTCTTCTTCATCATCATCTTCATCGGTCACAATGGTTTCATCAGTAAACCAACTACCCTCTGTTGAAAAAGAATCCTCATCACCTTCTTCTTCGTCTGTTCCCCAATGATCTTGCTGAACAACAGGGTCAGGCACTCCATTCTCCTGCAGCGCACTTCTCAGCTGCATGTCCCGCACAATATTCGATGGTAGGAATCTACGCAATACAAACCATAATCCGACACGTGGCTCTTGGAACCGCTGATTCTGCTGATCTGTTGTGAACATTTCATCATAGCGTGCTAGTCGCTCTGATGGTGATAATGTTGGGGGTTCAAGTGGACCGTAAAGAGCCTCAAAGCGCAAAAGTGTGTCGTGATCATCTGAAGCAATTGCTTCTGGTACCATTCGCCGCATTTCATCACGCATGTCCTCTTCTGTATATTCTTCAGAATTAAGCAAATGCGCCGGAATTGCTGATACTGTTTGCCCCATTACATCCTCTTCTTTAAGCAATAAATGCTGCCATGGTGTTAAATGAGAAGAGTGATCTGATTTAGAAGCAGCAACAGCAATAGTAGAAGCAGGAAAACTATGAGTTTTTAGCCAAACCCCATTATCTTCTGTAATAACACGTCGTAAGAAGGCAGCAGGTTCAGCAGCTTTCCACATTTCCACATTTCTTGCTACCCAGAGTTGTATCACATGCAAATAGGATTCATCACCACTACTAATTGCTTCATTCGCCTTTACAATTTCTTGCCAGGCCTCTGATAAAGAAGGTATACTAGAACTTCCAAGCTTCTCAACGAGAAGTACAGATGCAGAAGGAAATCTTCCAATGGCATCTGCTAACATTTCCATCGCGGATGGAGTATTATGAAAGGCATGAAGCTGTTCGGGTGTCATATCACGTATTACTTTGGGTACTTTACCTTTTTTCCCTTCCCCAGTAGTACCGGTAACATTTGTCTGCTCCCGTTCTAGAAAATACTTGGCCAAGGCAGCACTAAAGAAAAAACCAGGTAAAGTTGAAAGTGATAATGCCAAACTGTGGTTAGACAAAGAATCTGTCATTTCATTTGAATCCCCTGTAGTATTCTTTTGGAGTTCATGCATTATAATAAAATATACCTGCAATAACCATCCCCATCCTTTTCTTCGAAGTGCAAGGTAATCCAGTAGTAACAACATTCCAAACGGGTCTGTATCATCAAGAGAATAAAGTAATTTGGCAATCTCCCATGCCGTTTGAGTAGCAGCTTTCTTAAGTGATTGATGTACTCCACATCGAAGAATCTGAAAAACTTGTTTGTTAGATGTAATAGCAAAAGGTAGACATCGCTGACGTACCGTTTGTTGCAATGGAAAACGTGAAAACAGTACACCAACGTGGTAAAGTGCAATATCAATGGCATCTTGGGCTTTTGGAACATTACCCATCATTTCAAATACATTACTTGTAAGAATAAGTGTTGGAACATGATAGGGTGAAACAGATAAACATTCCAATAAACCTTCTATACCCCGATTATTAAATTCACACATGGCAAGTGCTGCATCTGCACGATGCATATCTGGATTAGAAGTATCTAAATAATAGACAACCGATCCATTGTTACCATTACTACTACTACTACCACCACTACAAGTTTCACTCCCATTTTTACCTGATAAATCGTTTTTACTGGTTTTACGCTGCTTTTTCTCCTTCACTACAAGTACAGCCCCTAGACCATCATATGGTGGCCATGAATAGCGATTTGGTGTAGCTAGGATACTGTGACGAAATCGAACTGTAGGGATCATATTTTCTGTATAGAAAAGCGATGATGGTCTGTTCTCTGGACGCCGTTGGGGAACTCTTCCATCGCCAATGTCTTCTACGGCTTCCCGTCCAAAGCGACGGATACGCTCCAGTCGTGAATCAAGCATCTTTGGATTACACACCGAGAGGAGTGTGAGGAGGTCTGCGGTTTCCCCTACGGCTTCGTCCCCGTGTCTGTCTGCTGTCAGTGTGGAGTTGTCTTGACCGCTGCGGCCCGCCTCCAACTCCCGCTGGCGCAGCACGGCGGCCAGCAGTCGTTCCTCCTCTGCCTCCTCCTCCGCCGCCCGGCCCCGCCGCCGGCTCCTCTGCCCCCGCCTCCGTCCAGCAGCAGCGGGAGTTGTGGAGGTGGAAGTCCCTCCCACCGCCTTGGGCTCTGTAAGGCTGCATTCCTTCGTGCTAGACGTGGGGTGTTGCACACTACTGTGCTCAACGTCAGGGGTTCTCTCCGCACGGACCTCATATTTTGGAGTCTTTGTAATTACCGGTTGTTCTTCGTGATGTTCTTGTTGTTTCTTCTCCTTTTCATCTCCTTCCTGTTGGTGTTTTTTTTCTTGTTTTTGTTCCAGTACTTCTTGGTTCATCTTCCGTCGTTGTCCCTTTGACCTTCCTCCGTTCTTGGGCAACTGCATCGTTGAAGGAAACTCCGCCGTGTCGTCGTCCGCATCAGCCCCAGTTGAAGCTTTAACGAGATTCTGCAGACGGCGTAACTGTCTAGCGGACATTATACGTGCAATCCCAGTGTCTTTCTTTTATGATGTTTTTTTTTTTTCTTTTTCCTTTATTTGGAGTTTTGTAATCTTTTTTTCTTTTTTTTCCCCCTCCAGTTCCACTGAATCTCAACCACTCTCCCTCAAATTCCTGCTGGGCAGAAACCAAAAAAAGAAGAAAGTTATAAATCATTTTTTTTAAAAAAAGAAAGAAGAAAAATAAAAAAAAAAAATCAGTAGGGCAACAAAAAAAAAACGAGAGCATAGCAATACCAAACAGGAAAGTTCCTGTCCTTCTTCTGCAACAACAAGAGAAAAAACCATAAATCACCAAAAAAAAAAAATATAAAAACAAAAATAAAAACGGGAAAGGGTGGAAAAAAAAAAAAAAAAGAAGTCACTCTTTATGTACAAACACAATCAAAGTAACTCCCTCCACCAAATGAATCTCGCAAATTGCATCTAATAATTTATCTATCTATAAATGTATTTTTCTTCTCCCCTCATAAATCAAGGTAAAGGTCAAGAAGAAGAACATCATCAAAAAAAAAAACAGCAGAAAATGTTTGTGAAGGTGGTAAAAATAAAAACTATCGCGCTGAAGCTGCGCGCAACATAGGTGGTCGGCCTGGTGAATTACTACCATCTAGAACTCTCTGCCCTGAGTGGGACCTTGAGACACCACCCATAGACGTTAGTGAAGAAGATATGGTGCAATTGCGTGGTAAACTCCGTGTACTGATTGCTGCATTTTTCAACATCCCAGCAGAAATCACATCAACATCCAGTTGCCTCGGAGACGGAGATTTATGTGATACCGATCGTCGATTCGGTGTTTTGACTGAATTTTCTTGATCTTGACGTTGTAGTTTCTGAACTGGTTGTATTGCACTTCGCAGCATTGGTGTTACGCGGGGTGGTGGCGGTAAGGCATTCGCATCCCACTCATCACCTCCAGATGATCGTCGTCGAACAGCGGACTGCTGTGCCGCCTCCCACGCAAGTTTCTCTACTGCCCGAAACTCCTCCAACTTGGTATTATTGTTACTACTCTTGGTGTTGTTTTTCTTATTCTTGGTTTCACTAGACTCAAGACTTGACCCTTGAGCCAGCGCCTCCCGCAGTCGCGCAAGTTCAAGTACAGCTCGTTGCGCCAGTGACACTGCCTGCCCGCGCATCTCAGCAGTGGTCATCTCCACATAAACAGCACCAGTATTATTATTATTATTATTATTATTATTTTTACCAACACCATCAGTAGTAACAACACTGTTGCTACGCTCCCTCACATGTGATCTAGGGGTAGAGTCGAATAACCGCTGCTGTACCTCTTCCCTAGTGCCCCCACCTGTGCAAACCTCATTGGATGCTTCAGAACTGCCTTGATGTATGGTTAGAAGTGTACGCAATGTGGCTGCTTCTGCCCTTCTCTCTAATTCAGCCTCGTTGCGAATATCAGCGAGGGCACGTTGCTCCTGTACCAATTTCTCTCGTAACTCCTCGTTCTGAGCACGAAGTTTACTCAAAGAAGATTCCGACTTATCACGTTCTTTTGCTTGAACTTGTACAGCAGATTCTTGCAGTTGACGTAACGCACCTAATTCCTTCGTCAATCTATTTAACTCTTCACGTTGCTCTTGTTGGTGCTGTGTCGGTTGGGTAACCACTTTACTCCTATGCATCCTAGCAGTTTGCAGTTGCAGTAACATAGACTTCACCTTGGTTGAGAGGAGATCATTCTCATCACGAAGTGATTGACAATCCATTTCCGTCTTTTTCAGCTTCTCTGTGAGGCGCGCCAGTTTTGCAAGCGCCTTCTCTTTCGCTTTATGTTCCTCTTCCCGTGTATGTTGTTGTTCTTCAAGACGCCTTAAACGCTCTTGCGCTTGTCCCGTCTCGGAGCGAATAGACTCACACTGTTCACGCAACTCCACACACTCCTGTTGACTCGCCTCAAGCTGAAGCTGAAGAATACCACGCTCGCGCTGTAGTTCCTCCACACTTACCAGCAATCGTTTCTGCTGTGCCTTAGCTCCCTGTTCTACAGTCCGCATCTCAGCTAGTTTCGTCTCCAGATGCTGGACCTCGCTACTTCGTCGTCGAAACTCCTGCGACAATTGTTGTTGTTGTTTCTGGCTTTCTTCATATTTCGCCTGGCACGCAGTAAGTTCCTCACGGCAGCGAATCAATTCCTGATTACTCTGATCTTTCTGTTGGGCCTCTAAACGCTCAATGTGACGACGATATTCTTTTTGACGCTGAAGAAAAACTTGATGTAATGTTTCCAACAGACGTTCGCACTGTCGTTGACACCGCTGCAGTCGTCCACAGTCATCTCCCTCGTCCTTACCACTCTCGAGTGTTCCTTTTCGAGAAGCGGATTGTTGTAAGGAAGATTGTTTCTGCTGAATATGGTTTTGTTTTTGTTGTTTTGTACTTTCAGCCTTCTTTGATACAAAACGATTCTTCTTCAAGTCCTCGCGAAGCTCTTTGTGAGTAACAAGTCCTAAAAGACTATCTTCTTCCTCATTTTCTTCCTCTAACATCATTACTGTTTCACAGTCTTGATCAGTTTCGACACTTTCACCTCTAATAAAAACACCACCAGCAGAAGAAGTAAAATCCCTTCGTGAAGTCAGTAAAGTTTCCACTTCACGGCGCTCTGGTGGAAACAGTGCACCCTTCAGACCGCGTTGAATTAATGGTGCAGGACGCTGACGTGTACCAAATGTTTCTACAAGTGTCTCCAACGCCGATTGCAGTTCTGTAAAACCGCTGAGAGTATCACGAATCGTTCGACGCAGTGCCTTCGCAGTCTTCTCCGCCTTTACCTGATCTGCTTCAAGCATGTGGATGCGGTGTATATTGCGTCGCACCTCATCTGTCTGCTGTTTCAGCGCCTCTTCCACTCCACGCAGACGCGACTCATGTTGAGTCTGTTCATCCCGCGTTGATGCTGTAGTTTGTCGCACTATCTTTTCTGTCTCCTGTACTTTATGCTGCAGCTGACGAATAAGTGCATCCTTCGCTCGTGCCAATTCCTGCAACTCTGCATTTGAGGATTTCAATTCGTCCATCTGCTGTTTTCGCTGATGTATTTCTTTTTGGCTTATTTCCAACTGCTCTGATAATCGTACTCTTTCACTTTCCTTAAAATCCATTGAATCTTGCAACTCACGCCATTCAGATGCACGAATCTGTAATTGTGTTTCAAATTCATTAATTTGCCGTCGCATTTCTTCTTGAGCTAAATTCCATTGCGCCCTTTCAAAGTTTAACTCTTGCTGCATATTAGTTGTGGCTAGACGCTTTTCATCCTGTGCATGGCACAACTCCACTTCCACACGACCAACCTTATCTCGTTCTTCTTGCAGTTCCTGATGCAATTCGGCTATAGTAGACTGTAATGATTCACACTCCCGGGCGAGTTGCTCCATTTTCTCCTGCAGAACATCCCGCTCTGCAGCAATGGCCTCCTTCTCTTGCAGTAACTTTTCATAACGTTCATTTTGTGTCTCAATCTCGTGACCCACTTCCTGCAATACAGATTCTTCCTCTGCGTCTCGTTGTGTCTCGTACGCCTTCAACGCCAGCGAAATCCGATGCCGCACTTCTTCCTCTGTGAAAAGTGGTTCGCTCCTACTAAGCAGATTATCGTTATCACGAGGACTCTTCCTCCTGCTGCTGCTGCTACCACTGATGTTTTTCTTATCTTCGTCATTGTCTCTATCACTTTCATCCATGTGCCACTTCTCTCTAGAGGCTGCCGCTGCCGCCGTAGCCGCCAGTTTCTTAGAAGAATCAGTAAGTCTTATTGCCTTTTTTCTCTTCTTGAAGAGACGTTTCTTGACGGCACTGTCACCCCCTGTTGTACTGGAGGCTGGTGATAAAAACAACAACGTGCTCGGTTCCTCAATTACACTACAGCCACCACCAACACTACCACTACTAACATCATCACATCCAACTACACCTGTTGTCAAAGAGGACCACTTCTGTTCTTGCTGCGGTGGAAGAGTACGGTTGAGAGGTGATCCTGGCATAATCTCTTCAACCCTTCCTGGTGGATCTGTAGCGTAGGTTACAGTGAATTTCTGTTTGCGAGGGCCGCTCGTACATGAGGGTGGTGCTTGTTGTTTGAGAAGTTCAGGGGATGCTGTGTCTGCGAGAAGCTCAAGAGCGGAACGCACTACTCGCCTACCAACACTTCCGTTATTTCCTGCATTCAAAGTCAGAGTTGATGCCTGTCGACCGGGTGTTTTGTATTCAGACATATTATGCCTTTTGTCCTTGTTGTTGTTGTTGTTGTTGTTGTTGTTGTTGTTGTTGTTGCAGTACCACAGCCACAAATAACAGTAAATGTATATTCACCCACCACCACCAGTTCCCCTAGAAACTTATTATTAGGGTATAATTGCTTCTATTAATATGCCACGAGTGATCTCTTCACTCACTGGCAGAGAAACTCTCTGATCTAAATCTAAGAATACAGGCTCACTTAATTCGCCCTCACGAGCCTCGAATAAACATATAATATGATTTAATAAAAAAAAAGAGAGATATATAAAGGAATAAATATACAACAGTCACTTCAGGAACGGGAAGAAAAGAATAAATCCCTCCCATAATATCATGTAAATACCACAAAAAAAAAAAAAAAACTCACTTTTTCTGATGAAAAAAAAAAAATCAAGCAAACACTGTCTACAGTCATGTCATACCGAAGACACCGTTGAGGAGCTCTACATTCTTCTTTTGCACTTTACTTTTCCACTCTTAAATACAACAAAAAAATCTAACATATAGAGAAAGTAACACAGTTCCTTCACATATCTCTTTTATAAGTGGATATCATTGTAAAGAAAGAAACAACAAAGAAACAAACTCAGGAGCAACAACAACAACAACAAAAAAAAAGAACACGGAATTTCCACTGCAGTAAAAAACAAACAGAAATATGCATACAATACAAGAACAAATCAAGAAAAAGCCTATATTTCTTCTTCCTCTTCTTTCAACCTTCAATCTTCTCTTGTAATACTTAGACTCGTGCTACGCTCTACCTTTGTGGATTTCTTCTTACCACGGGCTAGCTCTGCCAGTGCTTGCAAGTACGCCTCCTCTCTTTTCTCCCGCTGGGTAAGTTCCTCTGCGATGATTTGCTGCCGTGCAGCCTCGAGCTCTTTGCGGTGTTGCAGCCACTCCTTCTTAAACTGTGCCACGTACATCAACTGATCATCCAAGTCGCCAATCATCGTGTCAAATACCCGCAGTAATCCCTTTGCATGGCGCCGCTGCACCTCGAGTCGCACAATGTGCTCTGTCCTCACCTGCTGCTGCGCCTCACCGCCCTTGTTAGGCCGTGGCATTAACCGCACCTACACTACCACTACACTCTATTTTACACATAAGAAAGAAAAAAGAAAACAAAGAAGAAAAAAGAGAAGAAAATCAGAGATCATGAAACAAAAAATAAAAGAAGGTTCGATAACCAAATAAAAATAAAAACTGTGTCGAAAAAACAAAAAACAGGGAGAGTGACTATTAAAAGAAACAAAAAAAAAGCAAAGAAATGAAGAAAAAAAATACAATAAAATACAAGGAACTGTGTTGCTGTTTGAAATAATGACACAGATAACAACAATATTATTTTCCTCCACACAATGTATCGTTACAGTACACACTGACGCGCGTGTATCCACAATAAGAAAAAAAAGAATAATACCCACATATATATATATATATTTACCACTCTATCAATCACTCAATCGTTCCTGCAACATTTGTTTCCATATTTCCCATTTTTCATGGGTCTCTTTCACCTTTACAGGTTCCGATACATCACTAAAAACCTTTCCAGAGCCGTTAGTCTGAAAACGACTTCTCTGCATCTTCTCAAAGGCCGCATTTTCCTCTATTTCACGTTTTATCATCTCCTGAAGTCGACTAGAAGGTGCAGACGATGATGACTTCACGACATGGGAAGAAGATCGTAAACCACGACTCTTCACAGATTCACTACACCCAGATTGTCTGCTGAGATCCTTCGTTCCTGTATTCGCAGAGCGTGAGTGTTGTTGCTTACGTAATAGAAACTGAGGTTCATAATTACTCCCCACGGTACTGTGCAGAGACGTACCTCGACAATCATGCGTTTTTCCTGAAGTTTCCGATGCAGATCTCGATAGACCCAAGTAGGAGTGTGCATCCCGATGTTGCCCACGCACTAGATTACTTTTGCCACTAGTACTAGGTGAACGCCAGGGAATTACATTCTCTTCCTTCTCTTCAGTTTTAAGAGTTCCTAATTGCTGCATTACAGCCTGTGCAACTTCTTTTCCAAAGCCACCGGCTTCGCCCCACTCAATTGTGTTCCGCCCCAGCGCCACTTCATACGGATCACACCCCGCCTCCAAGAGCAACAAGACACAATTCACATGTCCCTGATACGCTGCTACCATCATTGGGGAAACTCCCTGACGATTTCTTATCGCAGCCCGCGCCCCGCTGTCAAGCAGCAGCTGCAGCATCTCTAGATACCCCTGCTGTGCCGCAATAAACAGCGGCGTGGCTCCAGTGTCTCTGCAGCTGTTGGGATCCGCGCCGTAATGCAGCAACACCCGCGCTGCAGTCAAGCATCCATTTTGGGCCGCCACAAAAAGTGGTGTGGCGTGTCCGGATTGTTTGCCGGCATTCACGTTGGCTCCTCTCGAGCAGAGAAACTCAACGACCTCCGCGTGGCCCGCCTCCGCCGCCAGCCAAAGTGCCGTGCAGCCATCGTCCGCAGTGCTCTCCACATCACAGCCGTGGCGAATAAAGTCCTGCACCGCCCGCATATTTCCCTGTTGGCAGGCACGCCTGAAGGCAAAGCCCGCAGCAGTACTAGTCTGCTGCATTCTCCTTCCCTTTCAAATGTACAGGTTTGTATATGTGTATGTGGGAAACCAGGTCGTAAATAGAAACAAAGAAAAAAAAAAGGGAGGAAGCAAAATAAGTTTACAAATGAATGAAAATGAGAAAAAACAAAAAAAAAACAAATAAGGTAAGAAAAGAAGCATATCACTCCCTTCTGTGTCTGGGATAATTAAAAAAAAAGTGAAAAAGAAAAACAGAACAAAAGAGTATGGCAAGGAATCATAGTGATACTCCACCGAGAAGTCGCAAAATCCTCGTTTCCGTGAATACTGTCACTCCCTTTATTCTGCCCTTTCACTAAGAGTGCCAGTAAAAAGCCAAGAAGAATGAGGTTAATATACCAAATGCAAGAAACCTATCAAATGCATTCACAATCTCTTACACTTCTGTACACATTCACATTGGCACTCCAATCATCATCACTCGCTTATAAATATTTCGAAATAATAATAATAAAAGAAAAAAATGTTCATAATTGAAATACCCAGTGAAAAAAAAAAAAAACACACGCAGTAAAAGTTCTTTTTCGTCAATGCAGTTAACAAGTCTCAACAGCAATAATAATAATAATAATAATAATAATAATAAAAGAAATAAATAACATAAAAAAAAAAAAAACGTAGACCTTACAAAAAAAAAAAAAGACATCAGAAAATGTTAAAGACCTCTGACCCAGAGAAGTCTCTCAACACCTCCCGTGTACTCTTAATCTACCCTTATTCCCCTAATTATTCTCGGGTCCCTTATCATCCTTCTACTACAATCATTTAAATTTTTTCACTTCTCAGTATGAAGCACTCTCGATACAATTTGAGGTCGAGACATAAAGTGTACATACACAACCTTACTCGTTTTTACCTATTTTTTCTATGTTCTCGTCCTAGTTATTCGCGATGTTCTGTTTCTTTTTCTTTATTCTTTTCACAGACACACACACAAAGACACATACACAGATATACTCATATATATATATATATACAAAAAAAAAACGCGATAAGACCGCAGCGGAAAAAAATCATATTGCCCTATTTAAAAAAAAAAAAAAACACTCACTGTCTTCCTTCTATATTGAAAGTGCAAACACGATCACTCCTTTTTTCTTTTTAGTTATGCTTTTCTTTTTTTTTTCTTTTTTTACTTTTTCGATGGTTCTTTTTTCTTTTCCTTTTTCCTTGTTCTTTTTCGTTTCACACCTAATACAAGAGAGGTTGCTCAACATTATCGGTTGCACCCAAACTCATTCCCCGAGAGCGACGGCGGAATCTCGTCTTTGCTGACGGAGTCCACCTCCCCTCCGCAATTGTACGGTAATTGAATATATCAAATCTTTCCAGCACCTTGTATGTAATTACCTTAAAGATATCTTGCAAAAACCACCAACCAATACACCAGATCCAAACCCACAGAGGCAGTAATTTATGTGCTGTGGAATCACCATGTGAAAGGCCAACAACAGGGATGTTGTCCATTTTGTTATCTGGCCAGAAGGCAGCAACACAAGTAGAGATGATGAGTGAAAAAACAGCGCCAACCACCAGAATGAGACTTGGTCTAAACGACCAAAACCAATCTGCACCTGTACGGGAGGAAAAGAGTGTTAAAAAGTCTGAAACTGAGACCTTCAAGTACAACATCGTCACAATTTGTCCTTGTGAAACGGGTGGAATTCCAAGACCTTTAAACCATGAATTCTCATTGTGTGAGTCCAGTGCCATCCACAATAATAATAAAGATGAAAGACAAGCCACGGCAGCAAGAACAGAAGAAATGATGAACATAACAGGGAGATTCCAACGTTGAGGACGTTGTCTAGGTACAACGTTGTCATAACCAATAGTCATTAATGTTCCGTCATTAAGTAATGTAATAAGCATAAACATAAGAACCGGTATACGAAAGAAACGGAAATGTGGATCATCAATATTATATCTTTCGCATGGAAGGGCGAAAACACCAATGAAGAAAAAGAACACAAGTTGTAAAGTAGCGGAAATACGATATGTTAAAAAGGATACCATACGTTGAAAAACTCCACGAGCAATAAGCATAGCATCTACTACTACACTAAGACCAGGTCCAGTTAACACCATATCAGCTGCAGCACGTGCTGCATCCGTAGAACCATCTACAGCAACACCCACATCAGATCGTTTTAAGGCAGGTGCATCATTTACACCATCTCCAGTCATAGCAACAGTGTAACCTCGTTGTCGTAGGGCTTCCACAATAAGGTATTTGTGTTCTGGGTATACTTGAGCAAATCCACCACATTTTAATATCATATCACCATGAGTTTCACCCAATGTACTTGGAATATCCTTTGGGTCTCCACTGGCCGGGAATTTGGGTAAACCCTCTGAGGTGTGTATATTTATATCCATATCAAGCATACGAGCCATTTCTTTCGCAATTAATTGATGATCACCTGTTACCATCTTCACATCAACTCCATATTCCTTACTGCGACGAATAGTCTCACGTGTGTCAGGACGTGGAGGATCAAGAAATGTTAAAATACCTGCCATATGCCATTCTTGATCTTCTTTAGTTCGTGCAACAGTGAGACATCGAATTCCACGTTTACCTAAATCCTCAATAATTTTTTCCACTTGTGCCTTAATAGCATCTCGATTGTGTACTAACTGTAGTACAACATTTGGTGCTCCTTTGGTAACTTTAAATACAATACCATCAGGTCCTCGTAGGGTTGCTTCTGTACGTTTAATTCGGGGATCAAATGGAACAAATTCAAGTTGAGTATACTTATCACACTCATCCAAGTCAGCAGCACCTAATACCATTGTATCAAGTGCATCACGTGGGGGTTCCCGCCATTTTGCGGCAAGAGCAGCCAATACAAGTACGCTTTCGCGATTATACTCTTTACTGAAAACATGGCATTCATTTTGTATTTCCATTTTGTTTAACGTTAGTGTTCCTGTTTTATCAGAGCAAAGAATATTTACAGCTGCCATCATTTCAATAGCGGATAACCGTGTGACAATAACTTTTTTCTTTGATAACTCTTTAGAGCCCAACGCAAGTGTTGTTGTAACAACAATTTCGATAGCAATTGGAATTGAAACAACAAGTAGGACGACGGTAAACTCCAGTGAATCACGGAATCCCAATTTATAATGACCCATAAGATATCCAAAGCAAATAATACAAAGAGTCATAGAAAGCAATGTCAAAGAGAACATCACACGCATCAACACGTAGTGAATACTACCAAGGTCTGCCTCTACCGATTGCAACAATAACGCCGTCTTGCCAAAGAAGGTCTTCTGCCCTGTGAACTGCACAGTGCCATCCACCTCCCCCCGCACCACGGTGGATCCCATCTTCGGCATGTGGTCTGGTCCCATCGACACGGGGAGCGACTCACCGGTGAGGGCGGCCTCATCCACGTCGATAATCCCTTCGTTAATGGTGCAGTCGGCGGGCACCGCAGAGCCGGCGGCGAGTTTGACGAGATCCCCCGGCACGACTAACGCCGCATCAATGATCTGCCACGTTCCATCCCGCATAACGGTGGCGCTGGGCTTCAGCGAGTTCTGCAGCGCCGCCACCGCATCCCCGGCCTTTGTGGTCTCGTACCAGCCAATACTGGCGTTGGCGAACTGAATGAAGAGAAGAATGCCGCCGTCAGGGAAGTTCTGCAGTGCAAACTCAATTACAACAGCTACCCAAATGGCAATTGGCATGGGACCCCACAAACAGCGAAGAAAGATAAGCCAGCCAGGGGTTTTCTTGTGTGGTAGTTCGTTGCGACCATACTGTTGAAGGAGTGCTTCCGCCTTCTCTGATGTGAGTCCCTTTGATGGGGGAAGTAGTGGCACATCATCATCGTCCAACTGGAGTGACTTTACGTGTTCCCCAGACATAGTCCAAGTTTACTTTCCTTTTTTAGTTCTTTCTGGGTTTTTTTCTTTTTTTTTCTTTTTTTTTTTTTTACGTTGGACTCCTTTATATATATATTTCTGCCTGTGTGTTAGCCCTTTTCCACGCTTATTGATCCGTTATCAATAAGTATTAAATACATGCGTAGAGACATATATATACATAAAGTACATGTTGTAAAAAAAAATAAAAATAAGAAAAGAAACATAAATGATTATACATGAGACTTTGACTGACTACATACATACACATATATACAGATATATATTAATGTACATAACAAATTATAGCAAGAATCTTACTAAGTATTGTATTAGTGAAAACGTTAGTGTTGATAAGGAATAAATACAGGAATTATTATCCCCATCATCTACACCCACACCGACAGACAAAGAAACACATACTCAAAAACCACCTACAAATAAAAGGGTAGTAAAGAGTTCTACTCAATGTTTATTACTCCAATCTCAAAGACCACACGAACAAAACACACAGAGAATGAAGAAAAAAAAAAAAATGCATTACATAAGGATGCAGGTACGTCTTCAGTAACAAAACGTACCCCCATTAACACAACCATTCACAGAGACATGTAAAACCTCTGCCTATTTTTGGGAACATACAAATAAAACAAAAATGATTGATCAATCAAACAATCAAAGAAAAAAAAAAAACATACATAAATTCTTCATTCAATCATTCTTTTTTTCTTCTCTTTTCTCTAGTAATCTAAACATCTAGGTGAATAAACAAATAATAATAATAATAATAATAATAATAATAATAATAATAATAA